CTAAGACAGCCGCTTATGTCTTGAGAAAAAAAAACAACAGTCTCAGTTGAGAAAATTCTCAACTGTTGAGAAAAAGTTTAGTGAAAGCCAACTTGAGATTTTTCTCAGGTGAGTAAGAATCTCCGTCAATACTGAGACAATCTTAAATTGAGATATATCTCAGTTTGAGAACGTTAGTGAAAGCCGGGCCAGAGCTCTGATAAAACTCAACTGACCAGCAGTTTCCCACGATCTATGCATAACTAATTTACTCAACTGGTCATTCCAACAGATCGGACTATTCCATTGAATCATTTTGGGGAGAGATAACATTATAAATTTCATAAGCAGAATTTGTCTAGGACATTGCAATTTTCTTTTGTACAAAAATTTGTAATGATTTTTAAATTCTATCTTTATATTTATTTGTTTCTTGAATATTTTGTTTGACATTCAATGAATGAAAGTTAAGATGATGAGTAAATTAACCCTGTTTTACATAATGATTGACCTGTCCATGCAGTTATACAGTTGTGAATTTTGAATTCTAAGATATCTGGGTCAGCAAAAAGAGTGCAAATTACAGAGGATGTACTTGATATTTTAACAATTTTGGAGATATAGTTTTGTTCAAGATCTCAAAGTGTTTTAGTATTTGTATGATAAATAAGTGTGATAAAATGGAACAAGGAGATGTACAACATATAAACCTTTAGTTACATTAATGCAGAAACAGGTTTTATATCAAACTATCAATGTTAGCAAACTAGAATTTGTAGCAAGAGGTCAATGTTGTTTTTATATTTTCAACTTCATACATTTGTTTTTTTTTCTGATAATTGTTTTAAATCTTTAATACTTGTATAATTTGTAAGATATAAATTATTCAATGATTCTATATAATGAATGTGTATATTGTATAATAAAAGCATGTAGTACTGATCTTTTTCATTTCCTGGAAATTAAACAAATTAAATCAATTTGATTAAATAGGAATAAATGGTACAAATTCAGAAGTTTTGTACAGTTGAACAGGGTCATCATAATCATTTATTATTTTACATGTATGTGTTGTGTTTCCAATGGAACAATCTAACATTACATTTTACACTCATATTTGCAGGCTGGGACTTAAGTGCTGACTGTGAGATGCAAGGTATTTCAATAAAGATGTGCAGTATTAATCCTGAAAAGGTATATTTTTAAATCTCAATACTTTACTATTCAACATCTTTCCTTGAAAAAATACATTAAACCAGTAATAAATAGTGTCACAAATAAAGCAGTTAATTAATTCTTATACAGAGCAATTCTTAAACACTTGTGCACTGAAATAAGATACTGTGTAAGCTTTAGTATTTTTGAATATGCAAAAGCACAGTTAATATTTAATACTGTTGAAACATAAAATTTGATGTTATCAAAAAATATGAAATATAACTGCATATAATTATGCAATAAAACATAAATCATTACAACATTTTTGTTTAATTTATTATAAATTTTATTATTAAAGGTAAGCACAACCACAAGAAGTTCTAGGAAACACAGGCAGTGGACTTAAAACAGACATCAATTAAAGAAATAGTATTTAAATAATCAGAAACATTTGAAACAAATTTATTATTAAAACACTCGCAGCAAAATAATTGCAAAAAAACAAAGTGTTGGATTCTTAGAAAATCAGTACCTACCAAAACCTGCAGCTAAAAAAAAACTGTTTGTGTTATAGTGAATGTAGGGTATTTTATTCTGTATTTGGACTAAAGGATATGTATTAAATTTTATGAAAGAAAATTTAATGTGATACATTATTGATAATTTTATCCCACAAAATGTGATCATGTTAAACTCATAAAAATTCCGCCCCCATGAATTCTGTCCCAGAATTCCGTCCAGAATCTTTTTTGACAATTCCGCTCCGAAATTCCGCTAAAGATTCCGCTTCAAAATTCCGCCCCAAGATTCCGCTTCAAAATTCCGCCCCAAGAAACCGCTCCAACTCATTTGCATATTTCGTCCCAATTCCGCCCAGAATCCGTTCCGTTTCCAAGTGGAATCCGGCCGGAATCCGTGCCAAAAGCAAATGGTTTAACACTTGTATATTTGGGGGAGAATTTCAATTTCTGGGCGGAATCTGCCATTGAATTCCGTCCAATTTCCGTGCAGAAAATTTCGTACAGGTATGTTTAAATTTATTTTTGCTCATAAATAGTTATACTCAGCGTTAGAGTGCAACAGGGTAAATTACGATTTTGAAATTTTGAAAAAGTCCTATATATGTGTTGTAAGATCAAAACTGATTTTTCTTATTTTTATTCTCAACATAATTTGAGTCATGATTGTTTCTATGTTGTTTTTGCTTTAATATGTTTACATCTATTTTGGCACAGTCTATTCCTCTTTTTAAAAAACATCAATAAATTAAGACTCAATATCTGAATTTTAATCAAATTAAAATTAATTTAATGTCATTTAAATTCTGTATAATATGATATAAATCTAGATGCTCAAAACCATATACAAAAATAATGATGTCACATTAAAAGCACAAACCATGCAACATCATTTTAACGGAGTTGTTAAAGCGTCATGGATATGTGATAAATAGGGTTACTGATTATGTAATCATAAACATTCAATTATATAAAAAATAAGTTGTTATCTAAAAACTTAGGTAAACTGGATAAAGCCAAATATAAGTATGTGTAACGTTAATTTTCTAGTTGCTTAAATCTAAGATTGATCTGACAAATTTCTGATGGAACAGACTAATATCAATCAACTCACTTATAATTTATATGTGTTTACAAATAAGCAAATCATCTTGCTGATAATATTAGTTGCTTTATCCGGAACTCGGCAAATGTGGGTTTTTCCAAGCTAATCCCTCAGTACAAACTTTAGACTTTTACCAAAATATGTTTACGTAGCACTTATAGATTTGTCAATCAGTTGCACTTATTTTTGAACAACACACCTTACAATTACTACCATATTAGGTAGGTCAAAAGATGTTAACCTCTGCAAATGTGGGTTTATTTTCTCATCTAATTCCGGAGTACAAACAATATTTGACAGCTTCAGGATACCCAACTGTTCTTGAATGAGTGGTCAACGTGTTGCAAGGACTATCAAAATATTTACTAAAATCTAATTATAAAAGTTCATTTATAGCTTGGGATAAGCTTGCAAAACTCACATTTTCCTGGTACCAGAGTATTTTCATTCAATTATTATGCCCTACATCTTTGCACAAATACATGTATAACATATTAAAGAAATATTTTAGAGGTTTTAAATTGCAAGTGCTATTTATTCAATCTGCATCATCAGAGTATTGTAAACAGGAAGATATTTCAACAACAAAACTGTGTAAAGACTACCATTCAAATTATTCATTCAAAAGAAAAAAATCTTAACCTTGAGAATAAAATAAATTTTAATTCATACATGAAAGCATACATTTACAATAACTGCAAACAGCAACCGTCTTCATATAAAAAACAAGAGCAAACATTTTTAGCTAAAAGGGGGTATAACTCCAAAAATATAGCTTTCTGAATTATGCCCCTTGTAAAGCAACTGCACTGGTCATATTAGTAATAAAGTATTCTAAACTTTTGGAATGTTTGAATAATGAGCTACATTAAATTGTTTGCATGTAATGACAACACAAAGATTATAATAGCTCAACTTTTGATTCGAAACAGACATGCTAAAAAGTAACATTTTTTTCAATATTTAAAGTAAGACTTCACAAGAGATTTAACCTTTCTTAACCAGTATTTCTTTAGACTAAAATCTTTGTCTCCAATTGTTGCTTTGCAGAGGTTGTAATGTATTCATATTAATCTCAAAGTTTACTCTTTTTTGTATTGTCCAAATAAATAGACAATTGTAAAGAAAACACCTTCTATGTCTACTGTACAAAAAGTCAACTATAGACAAGACACAAACTCGTAACAGCCGAAATAAAGAATAAATTACAGAACACTTAGTTGGATTGACGTGAACTTGACATTTGACATAGAGACCCCTGACTACTTTGCAACATATTGTTTACTGACATCAAGTACATTACTCAAACATTTTGTTATAATAAATAATATTACACCCCCTCACCCTTCGGCAAAGGTTGGGGCATAAAAATATATTTTTTACATTAACATAAATATGGCACAGATACTGACATTATCATAACATATTATGATCGAAGGTTGTTTATTTTCTTTGTTTTACACTTTTACATATTGCAAATCCATTAATTATTGGATACATATGGTTAAATTTGGTGTTCAAGATTACTTGAGTTAGTCATAATGAATAAGTGGTTCAAACACTTTTATTACGGAACCTGCTACAATGGGCCCTGAGGAAATTGAAAACGATATAAATTCCTCAAAGATATAACATTCATTATCTTTAGCATATACAGACATGTGTATCATTAACAGGGATGTATATTATAAACATAAAATAAACATCTCTTACATTCCTGACAATATATTCTTGCATAATTATCAGACTGGCGTTTCGAAAAGTTTTACCATTGCTGGAAATTTCATCTGGCATGAGAGTACTTCAGAAATAGTAGAACTCTTTTCTAAATGTTAAAAGGTTTACATTATAGGTATGACCTCATAAGATACATAATCTGACATTTAATATACAGCAAGAGCAGAGATTTTAACTTTCAAACATTATCAAAATAGATAGAGAATTATCAAACTATCACATGACAAATTTAAATAAAACATTGATCCTTCATATGACCAGTTATCTTACTACTTGTATATGCAAAATATTCCTCACAACAATGATCTTCCTGGTTATCTTAACCAGCCTAGTTAAAACATTGTTGAATTACCCATGGATGTAACCAGTTTCTGACATACTTGGTTAATAATCTTCAAAAGTAGTATCCATCGGTAATAGAAAATTTTAATTTATATGTCTTGAATTATAAGCAAAAAAGACACAAAACCAACAGAAATTTAGACAAGAAGGAATTTACTAAAATGGCTGCAAATTTCAGTGGATCATTAACACAAGACTCTGATGAAATTAAAGAAATGTATTGTGAGGAATGTGACAGACATGGTGATGGTTATGCTACAGCTGTAGCTTTCTGTGTAGATTGTGTGGATTATATATGTGTGACCTGTCAAAGATATCATAAGGGACAATTTAAAACTCACAAAATCCAAGACAGTAACAGTATGCCACAGGATTTTTATTTTGAGAAATGTACCACTCACCCTGGACAGCTGGTCAAGTTTTACTGCATCGAGTGCAATTAAGAAGCCTGTCAGCAATGCAAGGATAATGACCATGTAAACTGCAGTGATGTCAACCATTTATCAACCCTTGCCTCAGACATACAAAAAAGTGATGAACTAATAAACTTTAGCAAAATATGGATCAATTGTCAAAGGATATAAAAGACACAGAAAAGCTGTTAAATGCTAAAAGTGAAGTGATTAAGAACCAAGAGGAACATGCAACTGATACATGTAAAGAGCATAGCAATAAACTGATCGCAACTTACAAACAACAACATAAAGATCTTATTGATGATTTTGATAAGAAAATGGAAGAGACCATTGCTAGGTTGAAGAAAGAAAGGTTAGAACTAATTCAAAAATTATCTGAAAAGGAAAGAAATTTTGAAAAAAAAAGTAAAAACAGCTGAAACGGATATGACAGAAGAGGTTGTTAAGACAAATACAAACTTTAAAGAATTTAAGTTTGAACATTTGGATTTGGTTGGAAATTTGAAGGCTCTTATTGTTGATATAGAGCAGGCTCAGAAATTAGGTCAAAACTGTGAACTGTTTATAAAACTGAAGTTAGCAAAACAAATGTGTTAACATATTCAAGTTACTTCTGACCAAATTCAAAATTCCTACATACAACGATACAAACTAAAAGAATCTGACATTCAACCAACATCACAATCTCTAGAGGATCAAACAAGATTTTTCTCATTTAATGAAGTACATGTATCAGCTGTAGAGAAAAAGATTGCCTTTAATTGTGATATCAATCATGAGTTTGACAGAATAACTTCTTTACTTGTGCTATCTGAACATACACTTCTTGCATCAAATTATAACAGGTGTAGTCTTGTCATATTTTCACTTGAAAAGTCAAATGAAGAATATATTAAAGCAACAAAATTTAACACCAATCCTTGGGAAATAACAAAAGTTTCAGATAATAAAATTGCTGTCACATTTCCAGATGAAGTAATGATCAGACTGATTACATTTTCTGAGGAAATGAAAGTTATAGATATTGATGTGATACCAGGAAATGGTTGTTGCTATGGTATCACTTACAGTAATAAACATCTTGTTGTTTCATATTACAAATTATTTAAAGCCAGTAGTATTAAGATTCTAAGTATGTCAGGTAAAATAGTAAAATCATTTGACAAAGATGACTATGGTCAGAATCTGTTTTCCTGTCCTTGGTACTTGACTGTCAGTCCTGACAATTCTATGATATATGTCACTGATTGTGGCAGACAGACTGTGACCTGTTTGACCTTTGATGGTAAGATGAAGGCAATCTACAAAGATGACCGACTGAAAGATCCTTACCAACTTGCTGTTGATGAATATGGATCAGTTTATGTGTGTAGTCGTGACTCAAAGAATATCCATCAATTATCACATGATCTCACCAAAGTGAAGATACTGCTAAATAAAAGAAATATTTCACCAACAAGTATTGCATACTGCCAGAATACCAAGAGATTATTTGTAGGGATAAATAATGATAGATAAAAGAATAGAGGTTTTTAGTCTGTCACTGGAATAAAATACTACACCACTTTCACAGTCTCATAAACTACAATTTCACTTACTGCTATATATTCTAAAATGACAATAAATATTCTTTCCCTTAAATAACATTCAAGGTAAATGCTTTGAAACACCACCAGAAAAGCTATATCAGGATGTGTGCTGGCGAAAAACTGTTTATCAATAATCATGTGACCTCACCATTGTGATAATCTTCATAGTTATGAAAGCCATGTAAAACATTATTTAACAAGAACTGGCATAGTTGCAGAATAACAAGATATTGTGGGAATGTGTGAGAGTATACAATTTTTTCATAGACATATATCACAAGGATATAGGATAAAATATGAAACTCTTACACAAAGATTTCAGACCAATCATTCATTCTCACTTTAGGTTGAATAGGCTCGTTATAACCATAACAACTTAACACTTAACATAAATATGACACATTAGAATCTTGAAATAATATGTAAATGCATACACACATATTCATAAAATATCAGGTCCTTAAACCTGTTCTATAAGGTTGTCTGATGTAAATAATTAAAACTTACTCACTGTATAAACTGATTTTATCATTTAAATTACCAAAATAACAACAATAGATTTTATTTGCCTGTAAAAACACAAAATTGTACGTGTAATGAGTTGTATTTATCAATAAAATTTAATTCCTATTAAGGTTTATACCTTTTATTTTTCTCTTTTCCCTTTTAGTGATATTATATTATTTATAACCTACAAATGTGCATAAACGTTTTCCCTCATATAAGTGTGTTTTAACGACATTGAGGCCTCAAACAGTGAAAAAGCCCTATTTAAGCCCCAAAACACTGTTTTTCGTTTGAGGAATGTTGTTAAAACAAGAGGGTCATAATGGCCCTGAAATCGCTCACCTGTATATAGGCCCCTGGACCAATGCCAATTTTAAGCCAGGGGCTTATATTTGAACAAATTTGGTAGACAGCTATTAGAAGATTTTTTATGATAAATATCTACGCTCCAACTCTTTTGGGTTTTATAAAAAGATTTTTTAAGTTTTAACTATATACATATAGGAAAAAACAATGACCCCTCCGCAAGGAGGAGCCAAGTTTGACCCCAGGGCTTTTATTTGAAAAACTTATTAGACACTCACTTGAAGATATCTTATGTTTAGTATCTAAACTCTAGCTCCTTGGGTTATTTAAAAAAAGAATTTCTAAGTTTTTACTCTATACAAAATAAGAAAATCAATGACCCTCCGGGGCTGGGCCAATTTTTACTCCAGGGCATTTATTTGAACAAACTTGGTAAACACCCATTAGAAGAGGTTTGATGCTTAATATTTCAGCTGTAGCTATCAGGAGTTTTTAAAATATTTTTTTTTTTCCATTTTTACTATATATAAATTAAAAAAAAAAAATGACCTCCTGGGGCGGGGCCAATTTTGACCCCAGGGCATTTATTTAAAGAACTTGGTAGACACTGACTAGATGATGATTCATGCCAAATATGGAAGCTCGAGCTCTTGCGGTGTTCTAAAAGAAGATATTTTAAGTTTTTTCTTTCGGTTACCATGGCAACATGGCAACCAAAGTTCTGCTTGGAATTAAATTCTTTTAAAAAAAAATTTAAAGTTGGCTACCAAAGGAACATTCCTGTGAAGTTTGGATGAAATTGGCTAAGTGGTTTATGAGGAAATGTCGTTTAAAGAAAAAGATTACGGACGGACGGACGGACGACGGATGGACGCCGGATGAAAAGCGATCACAAAAGCTCACCATGTCAATTTGTGACAGGTGAGCTTAAAAGTGATCACTTTTCGGCGCGGCCCCACATCAAAATGATACATCAGGGGGTTGCCAGAAGGAGATGTGCCCCCTACTGTTACTTTTTTGGGGGGAGGGGGGGTTGAAGGGAGCGGCATTCCCCACATTGCAAAGAAAATTTTGGACATGTGACAGGCTTAAATTGGACAATGCATTGAGAAGTTGTAGCACTTTGAAATCAGTTTTGATGGATAAGAAACAATGAAAAATAGTGATTTTTCGCAATTTTGAGATGTCCCCCAGTTGCCATGGTGACAGGAAATTTAAGATTTTGCATGCTGTTACAGAGAGTAAGGTCCAGTCAACATTTTTGGCAAGTTTCATCTGTATTGAAGCATTTTTCATAGTTTCATAGCAGTTTGAACTTGTGAAAGGAGGCTTTTTCAATGACCATTTTTCGAAATATGCTCATATGGTAAAAGGTTAGAGAATGTTTAGTCCTTTCGGTTCAAATATGATCCAGAATGGGAAATCTGAAATTTTAAACTACACAAAGGTGACAGGAATAGGCAGTTGAAAGAATACCTGTTAGTGGTAACGATGCTTGCTTTGCATGCAAAAAGTTTTATTTACAAATCCAACAATCGTTAATATTTTTATAAGGCCTTTCTCTTGTATTTTTGCCCCTCTTCATCTATTTGTTTTCTTTTTTTCCATATTATTTCCATGTACTGTATTTACGAGAATGCTTCAGCAGATATAATAAGTTATAATTCAATTGAATTCAGCAATTCAAAAAAATGTCTCTGACCTCTGTGGCACTCGCAGTCGGACTGGCGAGTTCGTCTCTGGCACCGAGCGAGTATAGGTGATTACAGCGGAGCAATTAAGTGGCTTAATTAAAAGCTAATTCCCAATTTTCCAGTACACAGTGTTGTGGTGATAGACAACGTCTAAACAGAAAATAAACCTTTAATGCATAACATATAAAGGACAATTTGACATACATTTGTTTAATATGGTACATTTAAGCAGGATCTTTTAAACAAACCCAGGAATAATTTTACAAAAAGAGAATATAAAAGAGTCTTGCAAAGTTATATCATACTTTCTCACAATAAAATAAAACTTAATTTCAAAAAGAACACATGAAGCGTTATCAAACTGATTAGTAAAATAATATCTTTAATCACAATATTTTTTTTTTGAATCTCATATTACCTCTTATCAAACATAAATTATGCAAGGCAACAGTGCTGTATCTAATTCTTTAAACTTATCAAGTTAGGTCATTGTAATATAAAACACCTGATATGCTGATATAAATAGTTATTTATGCCAACAAAGAAATTTCTTATTTTCTATTCACTATAAAAAGAAGCAAAAATCAAAATTAATATTCAACAATAAAGCACACACATATTTTAAGTTGAATCATTCATTACCAAACTGATTTATGTTTCAATAAAGCACATGATACAATAATTCTTTGGCCTCGAATATCAACTCTGATCAAGCATAAATTAAACACGACAACAATACTGTATCTGGCTCTTTAAACCTAATAAGTTAGGGCATTTTACCATAGCAACTGATAAGCGAGTATACAATATATATAACTTATTCATGATGTAATTGATAAACAAGCTTTGAATAGGAAATAATGGTAAACCAATCTTAAAAGTTTATAGGTTAAAACCAATTATTTTGTTCAAATGAACTTAATAATAATGAGAATGGCATTGACAGCATTTATAAACACTATTTAATCTTCAGGATTAACATTGAAACTCAATACTTATATAGTTCATGTAAATTATACAAAGACGATCAAATTAGCAAAATGGCTTCTAATTTCTGTGGATCACTTACACAAGACTCTGATGAAATTAAAGAAATGTATTGTGAGGAATGTGACAGACATGGTGATGGTTATGCTACAGCTGTAGCTTTCTGTGTTGATTGTGTGGATTATATATGTGTGACCTGTCAAAGATATCATAAGAGACAATTTAAAACTCACAAAATCCAAGAGAGTAAAAGTATGCCTCAGGATTTTTATTTTGAGAAATGTTCAACTCATCCTGGACAGCTGATTAAGTTTTACTGCCTTCAGTGTAACAAAGAAGCCTGCCAGGAATGCAAGGATAATGACCATAAAAACTGCAGTGATATTAACCATTTACCAACCCTTGCCTCAGACATACAAAACAGTGTTGAACTAACAGACTTTGGCAAAAATATGGATCAATTGTCCAAGGATATAAAAGATACAGAAAAGTTGTTAGATGCCAAAAGTGAAGTGATTAAGAAACAAGAGGAAAATGCAACTTTTGCATGTAAAGAGCAAAGCAACAAGCTGATAGCAACTTACAAGCAACATTATCAAGATCTAGTTGATGATTTTGATAATAAAATGGAAGATACCATCGCTAAGTTGAAGAATGAAAGGTCAAAACTAATTCAAATGTCTTCTGAAAAGGGAAGAGAGTTTGAAGAGAAAGTAGGAAAAGCTGAATCAAATATAAAAGAAGGGGTTGTTAAGACAAACACTGATTTTAAAAATCTAAAGTCTGAACATTTGAATTTGGTTGGAAATTTGAAGGCTCTCACTGTTGATTTAGAGCAGACTCGGAAATTAGGTAAAAACTGTGAACTATTTAAAACACTGAAATTAGTGAAACAAATGTGTAAACACATTCAAGTCACCACTGACCAAATTCAACATTCTTACATACAGCGATACAAACTCAACATATTTGACATTCCACCAAAAGTAAAATCTTTAGAGAATCAAACAAGGTTTTTCTCATTAGATGAAGTACATGCATCAGCTGAAGAGAGAAAAATTGCCTTTAATTTTGATATCAATCATGAGTTTGACAGTATTATTTCTTTACTTGTGCTATCTGAACATACACTCCTTGCATTAGATTATAATAGGTGTAGTCTTGTCATATTTACACTTGAAAAGTCAAATGAAGAATATATCAAAGAAAGAAAATTCAACAGCAAACCATGGGGAATAACAAAAGTTTCAGATCATAAAGTTGCTGTCACATTTACAGATGAAAAAATGATCAGACTGATTACATTCGCTCAGGATATGGAAGTTTTAGATATCACTGAGATACCAGGAAATGGTTGTTGTAGTGGTATTGCTTACAGTAATAACCATTTTGTGGTTTCATATTGGTTGACAGGTAGTATTAAGATTTATAGTATATCAGGTAAAATAGTGAAATCATTTGATAAAGATGACAATGGTCAGAATCGGTATACCTATCCTGCTTATTTGACTATTAGTCCTGACAATTCTATGATTTATGTCTCTGACTGGAGCAGAAACACTGTGACCTGTTTGACTTATGCTGGTGAGGTGAAGGCAATCTACAAAGATGATCAACTGAAAAATCCTCAACAACTTGCTGTTGATGAATATGGATCAGTTTATGTGTGTGGTCGTGAATCAAATAATATCCATCAATTATCACATGATCTCACCAAAGTAAAGATATTGATAGATAAAAACCATGGCATAATAAGACCAACAAGTATTGCTTATTGCCAGAATACCAAGAGATTATTTGTTGGAATGAATCAAAGTAGTAAAATAAAGGTTTTTAATGTGACACTTGACTAAAATATTACATCACATTCACAGTCACATTTACATTAACAACAATTTCTCTTACTGCTATATATTCTTTAATGAATTAGATATTCTTACCCTTCAAAAATCATTCAAGGTAAATGTTTTTAACCACTACCAGAAAAGCTATTTCAGTATATGTGTGGGTGAGAAAATGTCCATTAGTAATCAAATGACCTGACCATAGTGATAAATCTTCGTACGAGAGTCTCGTAGTTATGAAAGCCATCTACCACATTATTCAACAAGAACTGCATAGTTGCAGATTAACAAGACATTATGGGAATGTGTGACAATATCAAAGTTTTCAAAGCGTCAGAAGGATAAAGGATAAAATATGAAACTCTTACACAAAGTTCATTTAAAAGTCTTATTTTAGGGTGGGTGAATAGGCTCCTTATAACCATAACAACTTAACACTTTTCATAACTATGGCACATTCGAATTTTGAAATAATATGTTAATGCATATACATGTATTCATAAAATATCAAGTCCTTTGACCTGTTCTATACGGTTGTGTGATGTAAATAATAAAAAGCCTCTTATTCACTGTATAAACTGAAATTACCAAAATGAAAATAGAAACAATAGATTTTATTTACCTGTAAATACACAAAATTGTCAATGTGATGAGTTGTATTTATCAATAAAATTTAATTCCTGTTAAGGTTTATGCTTTTAAATTTCATTTTTCCCCGTTAGTGACATTACATTATTTATTACCTACAAATGTACATTAAAGAATGTTAAGTCCTTCGGTTCAAATATGTTCGAGAATGGAGAAACTTAAATTTAGAAGTACACAATGGTGGCAAGAATATATCATATACATGTATGAAAACACACCAACTGGTAACAGTTGAAAGAATGTTATCAATTCTGTTAGTGATAATGTTGCTTGTTTTGCATGCAGAAGGTTTTATTTGAACAATTGGTAATATTTTTATTAGGCCTTTCTATCTTACTTCTGCCCTTTTTTTATCTATTTGTTTTCTTTTTTCATATTTTTCCATGTACTGTAAATACGAGAATGCTTCAGCATGTATATTAAGTTACAACACGACTGAATTCAGCAATTGAAAAATGTCTCCGACCTCTGTTGCACTCGCAGTCGCGCTGGCGAATTCGTCTCGGGTACCAAGCGAGTACCCCATTAGGTGATTACTGTAGTAATCAAGTGGCTTTATTAAAAGCTAATTCCCAATTTTCCAGCACACAGTGTTGTGGTGATAGACAACGTCAAAACAACAAGAACTGGTTTAACCGGGTGATGTTCCCCGAAAAAGTTTTGGACACAGAAAAGAATACCGCTTGTAGTGTCTGAGTTATGTTCCGGACAAATTTCAAAGTGTAAAAAGGGAAAAAGGGAAATAACTCCAAAATTAGGCAAGCCATTATTTAGCGAAGGTGACATCATAATAATGTCACTTTATAAGACGCATTGAAATGTTTTCTATCTTTAAGCATAATGAGAGAAGTGCTATTTAAAATAAAAAATAATATATAAGAATATTGATGGACTGCTCTGGGTATTAGTATGGCAAACCTGTACATCTTGCTACAAAAGGTGGTTTCATTTTCTTTTCAAAATAAAAACTTGAGGTAAATGAAAGCACCCACACATTTCAACAATATTGAATGAATATATATTTTTTAAAAGTTACTCATGTATATAGTAATTTTCTACATCAGGATAAGCAAAACATGATAATTTAACCTCTAATGCATAACATATAAACGACAATTTGACATGTATTTGTTTATTATGGTACATATAATCAGAATTTTTAAAAAAAAACACAGGAATAGTTTTACAAAAACATATATGAAAATTTAAAACAAGGTAATATCATAACTTTTTACATAATAAAATACAACTACATTTTAACATAAAGCGTTATCAAACTAATTTATAATTTTTTGTATTTTTTGTCTACCATATTACCTCTTATCAAACAGAAGTTATGCAAAGCAACAATGTTGTATCTGATTATTTAAACTTATCAAGTTAGGTCATTGTAATATATAACACCTGATATGCTGATATAGATAGTCATTCAAGCTAACAAAGAATTTCTTACTTTCTATTCACTATAAAAAAGAACCGAAATCAAATATTTAAACAAGAACATTGTATTTAAACTTGAAGCATTCATTACCAAACTGATGAATTTTCTATTCAATAAATCATAAAATTCAATAATTCTTTGGCCTCAAATATCACCACTGATCAAGCATTAATTATACATGACAACAATAATTTATCTGGTTTTGTAAACCTAACAAGTTAGGCCATTGTAACATAGCACCTGACATGCGAGTATTCAATGTATATAGCTATTGTGCTGTAATCAATAAACTAGTATTGAAAACGAAGTATTGAATTACCAGTGTTAAACCTTTGTATGTTAAAACCAAATTATTTTGTTCAAATGAACGTAATATTAATGAGAATTGCATTGACAGCATTTTCATACTATAAAATCTTCAATATTAATATTAAAACTCAATACTTATATTGTTTAATTGTTCCTGTGAATTATACAAAGATGAACAAATAAGCAAAAATGGCTACTTATTTCAGTGGATCACAAACACAAGACTCTGATGAAGTTAAAGAAATGTATTGTGAGGAATGTGACAGACATGGTGATGGATATGCTACAGCTGTAGCTTTCTGTGTAGATTGTGAGGATTATATATGTGTGACCTGTCAAAGATATCATAAGAGACAATTTAAAACTCACAAAATCCAAGACAGTAACAGTATGCCGCAGGATTTTTATTTTGAGAAATGTTCCACTCATCCTGGACAGCTGGTCAAATTTTACTGTTCTGAATGTAAGACAGAAGCCTGCCAAGAATGCAAGGATAATGGGCATGTAAACTGCAGAGATATCGCCCATTTACCAACGCTTGCTTCAGACATACAAAAAAGTGATGAACTAATAAACTTTAGCAAAAATATGGATCAATTGTCAAAGGATATACAAGACACAGAAAAGCTGTTGGATGCTAAAAGTGAAGTGATTAAGAAACAAGAGGAAAATGTAACTGAATCATGTACTGAGCATAGCAACAAACTGATAACAACTTACAAACAACATCATCAAGATCTAATTGATGACTTTGATAACAAAATGGAAGAGACCATTGCTAGGTTGGAAAAAGAAAGGTTAGAACTAATTCAAAAGTTATCTGTAAAGGAAACAAAATTTGAAGAAAATATAAGACAAGCTGAAACAGATATGAAAGAAGAGGTTGTTGAGACAAACACAAACTTTAAAAAACTCAAGTTTGAACATTTGAATTTAGTTGGAAATTTGAAGGCTCTTACTGTAGATTTAGAACAGGCTCATAAAGTTGGTAAAAACTGTGAACTATTTATAAAACTGAAGTTAGTGAAACAAATGTGTAAACAAATTCAAGTCACCACTGACCAAATACAACATTCCAATATACAACGATACAAACTAAAAAAATCTGACATTCAACCAACAGTAAAATCTCTAGAGAATCAAACAAGCTTTTTCTCATTCGATGAAGTACATGTATCAGCTGTAGAAAGAAGGCTTACCTTTGATTTAAATATCAATCATGAGTTTAAAAGAATAATTTCTTTACTTGTGCTATCTGAACATACACTTCTTGCATTAAATTATGATAGGTGTACTCTAGTCATATTTATACTTGAAAAGTCAAATGCAAAATGTATTAAAGAAACAAAATTTAAAAACCTACCTTGTGGAATAACAAAAGTTTCAGATCATAAAGTTGCTGTAACATTTCCATATGAAAGAATGATCAGACTGATTACATTTTCTGAGGAAATGGAAGTTTTAAATACCACTGAGATTCCAGGACATGGTTGCTGTTTTGGTATTGCTTACAGTAATAACCATCTTGTTGTTTCACATAACGAATCCTTTACAGAAAATATTAATATTTTAAGTATGTCAGGTGAAATAGTGAAATCATTTGACACAGATGACAACGGTCAGACTCTGTTTAACAATCCTTGGTACTTGACTGTCAGTCCTGACAATTCTATGATATATGTCTCTGATTGTGACAGACACACCGTGACCTGTTTGACCTTTGATGGTACGGTGAAGGCTATCTACAAAGATGATCAACTGAAATGTCCTCTCCAACTTGCTGTTGATGAATATGGATCAGTTTATGTGTGTGGTCGTGACTCAAACAATGTCCATCAATTATCACATGATCTCACCAAAGTGAAAATACTGTTAGATAAAAATCATGGCATGTATACACCAGCAAGTATTGCATACTGCCAGAATACCAAGAGATTATTGGTGGGAATGAATCAAAGTAGTAAAATAAAGATTTTTAATGTGTCACTTGAATAAAATATCTCATCACTTTCACAGTCTCATTAACAACAATGTATCTTACTGCTAGAACTATTCTCACACTTACTCTAATCACATGTTCAAATGAAAAGCTTTGAAACATAACCATCTAGAAAAACTGGATCAGTATATTGTGTTTGCATGAGTGAGGCAATATCTATCAATAATTATGTGACCTCAGTGAGGCTCGCCAAAACAAAGATCTTGATGGACAAAAACCATGGTAAATCTTCTAAAAGTATGGCATAGTGGCAGAATAATAGTAGCGAATAAAAAGACATTGTGGGAATGTGTGACAGATTTCAATGTGACACTAGGTTAAAATAAATAACTTTTTCAGAAAGTTAGTTTCAAAGTCTCATTTTAGGGTGACTGAATATGGTCCTAAGACTCCTTATATATAACCATAACAACTTAACACTTTACTGAACTATTGCACATTGGAATCTTGAAGTTATATGTTACTATGTACAAACTGTCACATAATCATCAAATGTTTTAACCTGTTGCATGGTGTACAATAATCATGCCTGTATTTTACTCTATACTTATATTTATTAACATCAAGTCTTTTAACCTGCTGTATGGTGTACAATAATCATGCCTATACTTTACTGTATACATATATTCATTAACATCAAGTCTTTTAACCTGTTGTATGGTGTACAATAATCATGCCTATACTTTACTGTATACATATATTCATTAACATCAAGTCTTTTAACTTGTTGTATGGTGTACAATAATCATGCCTATACTTTACTGTATACATATATTCATTAACATCAAGTCTTTTAACCTGTTATATGGTGTACACTAATCATGACCATATTTTACTGTATACATATATTCATTAACATCATGTCTTTTAACCTGTTACATGGTGTACAATAATCATGACTATATTTTACTGTATACATATATTTATTAACATCAAGTCTTTTAACCTATTGTATGATGTACAATAATCATGCTTATACTTAACTGTATAAAGTGATTTAAAACGCAATAATGAAAAAGTATTTTGTGCCTGTATTTTTTACACAAAATTGTACATGAAATGAGCTGTATACATTTCCTGCTATTACAGTTTATTTCTTTCATTTTTCTTTTAAATAGTTTAATAGTTTGTTAGTGACATACCAAAATTAAATACCTATATTATTGTATGAATAAATAAAATTGAGATCTAGTCATGATGTGTCACTTATTACTCTCTGATAGTCCTTCACTTAGTTAATGTAATGTAATATTACCATTGAACACTGTTTACATAACATAAAAAGGAGGCCATGATGGTCACATCTAAATGTGCATCTATTATCTAAATCTACGAGGTATGATCAAAAGGTTCTCGGCCCGATATACTTTTAGCCACTATACTGAAATTTAAACACGATACGTCGGTACCGTATCTAATTGAAGATAATGACCCTGTTACACGCGGTTCTACATAGATTAAGTAACATAAAACATACTTTGATCAGTAGAGGGGTGTGTTATTGAGACCAAATGGAAAAAGTTGAAAGCAGAACCGTCATTATATACCACTGTTAGATAGGGATGTCCCCCAAAGAAATCCATGAAGACTTCATGGAAACATTTGGGAAGGCGGCCCCTTTCTATAGCATTGTGAAAAAATGGGCTGCTGAATTTAAGAGGGACAGAATTAGAGATGATGAGCTGTCTGGGCGGCCAAAAGAGGCCACCAACAATGTGCACGATCTGGTCATGTGCGACAGAAGGCGAGACCTTTGAAGTATTGCTAGGGAAATTGGTATAAGCTTTGGTTCAGTTCAGGCAATGCTGGGCAATTCTGACTGATGTCTATGGAATGTCAAAGGTTTCCGCTAGATGGGTCCCCAGACAATTGACGGACAACCAGAAACGGACCAGGCTTGACATTTCAAGATATATTTTGTCTCGCTACGAGGATGAAACTGATTTTATCTACCGGATCGTAACTCAGGATGAAACATGGATCAATAATTAAAAAATACAGAGTATGCAGTGAAAGCACCCTGGCTCACCTCCTCCGAAGAAATTCAAGAGAATGCCATGATGGCTTCAAATTGTTTGGATAGTCAGGGGATAATCATGATTGACTATCCTGAGCAAGGTCGTACCATAAACGGTACGTACTATGGAGACGAATTGAAGCGTCTGCGTCCAGAAATCGCGTGTAAAAGGAGGGGCACACTTACTCAAGGCGTTCCGCTCCCGCACGACAATGCGCTAGCTCACATATCCCAAGTTGCGATGGCTGTCGCAACTAACTGCGGCTTTGAAATTCGTCCTCATCCCCCATATTCTCCGGACTTGCCCCCCTCTGACTTCTACCTGTTTCTGAAACAGTAAACCAAGCTACGTGCTGGACGTTTTGGAAGCAATGAAGGTGTCATGGAGGCGTATACATTGAAATGATGAAACATTACGTATATAAAAGTTATGATATCTTTATTATTTATTATAATGTTTCATATTTCAATGTATACAGATTGGTATGTATAAAGGTTTTATAAATATAATAAAAATCATAAATAATCATATATACTATAATGTTTCATTTAGCTTCGAACCTCCAATTTGTAACTAGAAGTCTGAACTCCTTATCACTGAGGCTAGTTTGGCACGTGTTGTGTTTGTAATAAACCATGTATATTGTTATATACTTTTCTTAAAAACTTAGTATATTTTTCTCAGATTTGATATTATTAAAATATTTTGGCTTATCAAGAGGCATGCAGCTTTAAGACTAACCTGGTATATTCCATACTAAATACAAGATATAGAACAGATTATCTTTACAATTATAGCTGTACTATAAGTCCCTACACATTACAGGCTTTATCTATAATTATATTCTGTGGATAACAGCTTTAGTTGAAATACATTTTTTTTTTTCAAAATAGCAACATATAAAGTAAGTCAGTACGTACGTAACGCCTTTATTTAACAAGGCTTACATGTTCGGTTTACCGATCTTCCATGTGGGAAAAGTTAAAACAAAACATAAATATAACATAGATTTTATTATGTAAATAAAACACCTCTACCAAAATACATTTTATAAGCAGCACTTTTTAAGCTGAGCATTAAATATAAAAATCTCATTTTACAAGTACATTTATTAATACATGTATATTTATCAATCACTTTTGTCAAAATGGTCCCAAAAATAATCTCTCATGAAAAAAGGTTAATTAAAAATTGTTGAAATCAAAAATGAACAAAATCAAAGAACTTGTAGTTCAAAATGTCCCCAAAAGCTGTGCCCAGTAAAGGAACCATGACTCCTAACTTAAAAAGGGCATGATTTCTATTAAAGAGAGTTACAAGATTAAAGAAAACATTTACAAATCACTCTGTAGCAGGCGACACAAAAATACGCCTCTATATGCATGTACAAAATTATAACTTAAGAAAACTAAAACTTAAAATACATAAAATTATAGAACACAAGCATGTTACAGATACTGATGCAGCAGTCCCCACAACCTGTGTAAAGTTATCTGATGATTCCTTACCTCCAACCCATATAATTGTGGAGATTAACTTTAAGAATGTGTCTTTTTTTATAATATGTATCAAGACCTTGATTATCATAACCATTTTTCATCAACATAGCTTTTGTACATTCTGATTATCAGACGACCCCTGTGACTGGTAACCACATTTTTATCAGTTGTATGAAAAAAATAAAAATAAAATTTGCATTATTCCCCTTATGGTCCTCTGTTGACTGGCCAAGTATATGTACCACCAGCCTAGCTTGTGTACATTTTGAGTTATACTTATGGCAATGAAGCAAAAATGAATGGGAAAGGGGTTGGGTAATACTCATTGTCCCCTCCAATGAAACCTGATGGGGACTACCAAAATATCGACCCTTTGTAATTATATTTGAATTTCCTTAACACAGAATGACCTTCCAAGATGGTACTCTGCTAAATCCTGACTTATTCTATGAGGAGAATTAGGAGAATATTTCTTTTTTAGCCTAATGGAAGTTACCTTGACTATGATCTGATCGATTTAAAACCAAATGCAAAAAGTGTTTCATATAGGTACCAACAAATCAAATATCTATGATATCAGTTAAAATATAACAAATGTATAAAGATGTCATGAGAAACGATTAAGGACAGAACAAACCATCAACTTTATGCTGGCAAGATGATTTTAAAATGCTAGCCCCATGATTTAAAAATGCTGGCCCAATGATTTAAAAATGCTGGCCCCATGATTTGAAACTGCTGGCCTCATGATTTGAAAATGTTGGCCCTATGATCTGAAAATGCTTGCCCCATGATTTGCAAAATGGTGGACCCATGATTTGAAAATGCTGGCCCCATGGTTTGAAAATGCTGGCATCATGTTTTGAAAATGTTGGCCCCTTGATTTGTACAATGCTGGTTGTTGATTAAAAAATGCTGGTTGATTTGAAAAAAATATCATTATTTTTGAAAATATAAACAAAATTTTTCAACAGTGTATATCAAGTAAAATAATTAGGGACATATTTATGTAAACTACCCATATACTGTATTCACTAAATATATGTAAAATATTAAAATACACAATGACATTATTTACTACCAAAATATTGTATTTATTTCATATGTATAATGTAAAAAAGTATACAATGATATTTACCTCAAATATATTGTATCCACTTTATCAATATAATATAAAAATACAATTACATTTACTACCCAAATATTGTATTCATTTTACATGTATAACATAACAAAACATAATAACATTTACTACAATTCCCATATATTGTACTTATTTTTATGTATAATATAAAAATACATCACTATGTAAACTACTCTATATATATAGTAAACATAATATCATATTGTATTAAATTTAAATGAACACTTATAAGGTTATATTCAGCTGTATTTCACACCTTATGAAATGTTACAAGTGAATTTCAAGCCTTTGCATCATTTGATCTTACAATGTGAATCATTGGATCGTTGGATCTCATTTTATCTATTTAGCCATACTTCAGAGTCCAAAAATTCCATATAAAAATTATGCTGTACTCCATCCACACTTTTTCATTTTCTGAGTCCAAAAATTATATATCGAATCCTTATTGTACTCAAAGTAATGAAGTAATGTCAAAATGAAAAAAAAATTCTTTAGTGTGAAATTAAGAGGTCAACTGGACTCATACACAGCAGCAAAACCTATATTGGACTATGCATCAGGTTTTACAGCTGTGTAAGAGTCCAATATAATGCAGTATTGTACTCAACACTATATAATAATCTTAATCTTGAAAAACATGTCAATAAAGGTAATGGTATAGACAATAACTGAATCCTGAAAACTGTCATTAAATGTATATATATGGTATATACATGTAAAGTTTATCAGCAAAAAACAATACAAAAAACAAACCAAAAAATTATTCCTGCAATTCAATTTGATTTATGTATTCATAATCAAAATAATGTCATATCATAATAAAGATGATAAAAAAACATTCAATGCAGAACAGCAAAACTTATTGATATAAACTCCTTTTTACTATGTCAAACTTGAGGTGGATTTCAGAAATATGTAATACAGTAAATTACATTAGCCCATTATATAAAAGCTGTAAAAATGATAATCATTGTTAGAATAAATCTAGATTATAGCAAAGAAATAAGAGGATGGCTTCAATAAATTTAGTAAAAAACATGTTTTCATAAAACTACACATACATAATTAACAACTGTAAATTTTCTAATTCAATAACTTTTCAATAACTTCCATATATGAACTGAAGTATTATTGGTGGTAATCAATACATGTACAATTAGTAAAAACATGAATTTGTAATGATCTATCTCTCTCTCCTCTTAAATATAAATATAAAGATTTTGTAAATAAAAACCAACAATATTTATTAATATCAGATCTAAAAATTGTATATTCATAAAAAATATTTCAACAAAATAAAATCTCACAAAATGTTCCCACAAACGCTATACAAAATGTTCCCAAAATAACTTTGTATATGATGAATATGAAAAACCACAGTAAAAACTAGAACTTCCATTGTCCTAGCTAAGACATCCCTGCATGCTGCTTTGTCATTACACCTGAATTATAAATTATATTGACTTTACATATATGAAGTTTACCAGATTGTATCTCCAATGCTTTTAAGTAATGCTCAAATTCAAAATAAATATTAAGCATTACAAAGGATTTTTGTGATGTTTTCCTTCTATCCACCTATGAAGGTATAAAGTCGATACCTACTGTGTTTGTTTGAGTTGTACTCAAAATAACTAGCAGGTATTACAAAGGGCAATAACTCTAAAATTATGCAAAAGAGAGTTATGGTTCTTGGGCACTCCTCATCTTGAAAAGAGCTATCCATCTATGAAGTTTCAAATTGATACCTACAATTTTTTTTCCGAGTTATGCCTGGATGAATAAAAACCTATGGCAGATGGATGGCTGAACAGTTAAAAAATGATTTCAGTAAAGCCACCTAACAACTTCATTGTGTGAGGGGTATACAACCAAACACTATGAATTCAAACACCATGAACAGGCTCAATCAAACCGAGTCTGCAACATTTTCAAATTTGCTATGTTGGGCTTTCTTTAAGGATTCTGTTTTTTCTCTATTCTATATAATTATAATATAACTGTCATATGCCTGTAAATTTATATATAAATTATTACTGTCTATAAATAAAATTAAACACATTACTGTATAAATATTAACTTCCCTGTATGTTGAAAAATACTGTTGTTGTTTTGTTTTGTATGAGTATAGAAAAGCTCAAGTATACACTTGAATATCTACCAAAATTTTAACCATCTCCTAAACTATTAACTACATTTCTATCTGTTGTATGTACCTAGCTGAGACAAATCCTTATTCACATGTCATTTAAATTTTCTGAGATGGTCCGTTATAATTTTTTTTAAGGCACAGCCATATTTTGGTTTTATCACAAACAAAAACGAGTTATCTGAGTTTTGAGGTGGCCTTAAAATGCATTTGAGACTGCCATGTTTGGTTTCATCACAAACCAAAAGAGAGTTTTCTGAGGCTTGAGATGGCCTAAAATGCATTTAAGACAGTCCCTCAGACATCTCTTAATGACAACAAACATTTATATAGCCTGGCAAAAGCTGCATTTTGGCTTTTTAATTAATTCTCCTTAAAAACCATAGAAACTGCATTAGACTTACACATTCAGAGTTCAGAATACAAAAATTCAGTTCAGAAAAAATAGTTGTAAATTATGAACATGATGATTCCTACTTCTTCCGTTAACCTGACCCACCACTATGTTTTTTGTACAGAGCTGCTATGTCATTCTTGAAGAAACTACGCAGCTGTGGACGCTTGTTTTTGAACGTAGGTGTTACCAGTCCATTCTCAATAGAAAATAGTTCTGATCGCAAAATGATATCTTTAGTCTGAAAATAAATAATAGAATAATTCATATTTATGTAATATGAGTTGTCAGTAAAATAGCTGAACTTCTACTATTCTTAATCCTTTAGGAGGAAAATCCTTAAATCCTAAAATCTTTTCTTTTTTGGTAAGGTTTCACGTCGCACCAACACAGTATAGGTCATATCCAAGTTTTAGTGATGGAGGAATACCCAAGGTGCCCCCATGCATTATTTTAGGCATGAACTCGCACCTCTTTAGAACCACTAATATTCCATAAGGTAACTAGATAGCTTCCTCAGATGAAAAAAAAAAACAAAGTACCTGGTGATCTTGACCTTGCATATATTGACCAAGATTGTAAATATTTTTATATAAAGTCTCAAGACAACCAAATTGTCCATATACAATTTCATATTTTTAACTGACACTGGAATTCTATGTGTGACTCTGACCTTGACAGCAAGGAACTGGATTATGCACTATATACAACACTTTAAAATGATAAACATTTGTGGCATGTTTCATTAAAATCCCTCAATGAATGTGGAATTTTAATTGCAACAAATATTTTCCTTTGACCCATGTGTCCTTGACCTTTGACCCCTACTTAATCATGACACTACATCTTATGGTTATGAACATTTGATCAAAAATATTAATATCAATCTATGCATATATAGCAGATATGCAACAGACACAAATGTACGTTTGCCAGCATATTTGACAAGGGTGACCCGATTATATGTAGGTGTAAACAAGAGCTGTCCGTAAGACAGCGCGCTCGACTTTTTTATTGCTTGCCAATAAAAAAAGTTTTTGCAGTAAAAGGCAATACAAGAATCTCTGTATTTTTAAAGTGAACTAGTTGTTTGATACCCTTGAATATTACAGCAATGTTTATATGACATAATTTATGGTAAAGTGAACAAGTGGATAGGAATGAATTTTTTTAGATTTTTTAAGTTTTTTAGTGCTTGCCTATAATACAAAACATTGACAGTTAAGGGCCATAATTCAAATAAAATCTTTGACAGAATTACCTTCTCCTGGACATGTTTGGGAATCATGATTGTAAACAAGTATTCCAACTTTCAAATTAATATCTCAAACAGTTCAGTCAAAAAGTGGACTGGTACTAAAAACTTAACCAAGATTCTAAGTCGATAAAAGGCCTTAATTTTTAAAACAAATCCTTGACAGAGTTACCTTCTCTTGCGTACAGATGGGGGTAATGATGTGAAATAGCATTAAAAGTTTCAAAGCAATATCTCAAAGGGTTAAGGCAATAAGTGGATTTTACCCATATTCAATGTATTTTCTAAGTCAAAAAGGGGCATAATTCTGTCAAAAACCTTGACAGAGTTATGTCCTCTTGTCTGTTGATGAAGGTCGTGATGGTAAACAAGTATGGTCAGTTTCAAAGCAATACCTCCAATGGTTTTGAAATAAAGTGAGGTGGTACAAAAAACTTAACCAAGCTCAATACACTTTCTAAGTCAAAAAAGGGCCATAATTCTGTCAAAAACCTTGACAGAGTTATGTACTCTTGTCTGTAGATGGAGGTTATGATGGTGAACAAGTATGGTAAGTTTCAAAGCCATACTTGTAATACTTCTGAAATAAAGTGGGGTGGTACGAAAAACTTAACCAAGGTGTGACGCCAACGCCGACGCCGACGCCGGGGCGAGTAGGATAGCTCCCCTTTTCATAGAAAAGTCGAGCTAAAAACTACATGTCAAGAAATTAGAAAACAACAATATGTTGCCAAGGTAACTTACAATTTCAAATCCTTTGAGACCAGCTTCTCTACAAGTTTTCTGTATGTCCAGTAGAATCATTGACTTAACACTCTAGATTAAAACATAAATTACAGAATATTTTATAATATAGCAACAGTATTAGAAATTCCTTCATAATCTAAAATTTCATTATTTAACATACAAATTAAAATTTTATCACTGTCAGAAATTTTGGGGAAATCTAATTTATTTAATGTGAATTTTCAGAGAAATGCACTCATTTGCTGACACAATAACATACCACAGGGATATTACTTTTTAATCTAAGAAGGACACATTTGAGAAAAACATGATGGCAAATACTTCTTAATTATTTAACATTATTATTATAGATATCAATTTCTACATATAAATAATTTTTGTCTTACCTCACTTTTGCACAGTTCCTGGAAACTATCAGAAATGTTTTGAGATTTTGCCCATGACATTAAAACTTCTTCATCAGGCACAATCACTGCCATCACATATGGCTGTAAGAAAGTAAATTATAAATGAGAGTAAACAATAAAAATACAATTTTGTTTTGATAACTCTTATGTCACATACTGGTGATTTTTGAAAACCTCTGAGGCCAATTTTAGTCACTTTGAATAAATTGACATCCCTGGTGTTGTAATAAAATTGCATGACATTTCTTAAATGTTACATTGCATGACATGAAAGTATGAGGGGAAAACAATTGTTTCTATACTATTTGTTTTAATATATCCTTCATCCTAAAAGGCAAACTGTGCTGGTCTTATGTCACACCAGTATAAAACACTTTTAGAGACATTGACAGGCCTTTACAAATAAAATAATGTTAATTATTGAAATTAATTAATGTAATTATTCTATACACATCTTATCTAACAGATTACCAGAATATTAAAATAAATCACCTTGACCACATTGTGTTCTGGTGAGCTAAAAAGGTAATTTAACAGTGTTTTGTACAATACTTGATATATTTGGACTCATACCAAGATGTAGAATCACCAAACAACTTAATCCTTTATCAAACATTGACCATACAATGTACAGGTATGTATAAATTGTAAATAAATAATATACAATACCTGAAGACTATCACCTTCTACAAAAGCTTGAGCGACAAATGAGCTCCGGCTATAAACCAGTTCTACTTTCTCTGGGGCCACATACTCTCCCTGTACATAAAATAACACAAAATATAATAAGAAATGAAGATGTCTTATTGCATCGGCATCGTTTAATGAAATTTAGTGTTCTGATGGGCTACTTAATGCATGAATTAACTTTATTGGCTACTGACAGAAGGGCATGAATTAACATGATTGGCTACTGATGGCATGAATTAACTTTAATGGCTACTGAATGCATGAGTTAACATGATTTGCTACTGAATCAATGCATGAATTAACATGATTGGTTACTGACACAATGCATGAATTATCATGATTGGTTACTGACACAATGCATGGACTAACATGATTGAGCTGAAATAAATTGTGCATAAACCAAATTCAGTAACATTTGAAGAAAGGCTACCTGTGACAGCTTGAACAAATTTTTCTTCCTGTCAATAATCTTTAATGTACCATTCTGAAAGGTAAAACATATTCTGAAAAAACATATTCTATAAAACTTAAACATATTCTTAAAAAATTATATTCTGAAAGGTAAAACATATGAATATCACAAAGTCCAATTTGTTCAAAAACAATTAGGGAACATTTCAATCTACAATCAAGTTCTAGAAATATCTTTCTTATGCAACACAAAATAACTAGAAAAAGTTAAGATAAAAATAAAATTGAAGAATGATCGAGTCTGTCCAAATCAGATACTAGAGTGTAGCTCGCACACCCTCTCACTACTTTAACAGTTAAAGTTAGTGTTAAATTTGAGCAACAGAATTTAATGCAATTTAACAGTGAGTAAGTGGATTTAACGGATGCTTAATTTTCACAGAGCTTTGAAGGATAAAGTAAGATTCTTTAAGCACAAACAATAATGCAAAGTGTTTGCACCCATGATATAATTTTTTTTAGTGTTCTCTTATTATTGGTCGGAAAAGCTTGACATTGACATTTGAGTTCAAAATCAGTAAAGGTCCTCTTCTAGTCATGATCAACCAACACACAAAATCTTTGGAGTATATGCCAAAGATTTACCTAGTAATTAGTCAGGCAAGGAAGTGGTGACGTACACAACTACAGGTGTATAAACTGACAGCATCACAATTTACTTCCATTTGTCAATTAAGCGCATTAAGCACAAACAAAAATGCATATACTAAAATTCTTTGACCAAGAAAAACAAAAACTAACAGGTAACCATTGTCCAATATCTCCTGTATGAAGCCATCCCTCCTTATCAATAGTTTCTGCTGTTTTTACTGGGTCTTTATAATATCCACTTGAGATAGTGACTCCTTTAGCACACACCTAGTGAAATATAAATAACATATAGTGAAATATAAATAACATAAAAACTAAAAATCTTTATCTTAGATTTTTACATAAAAAAGCTTACTTTGATTCATTGATACCATCATTTATAAAAAAATAAATGCAAAATTATATCTACTATAATTTACTTCCCTTTGATTATTTTAAGCAAAGTTATCAAATGGTTTATCACCCCTTGATAACTTAATACAACTTATCCATCTCTATTAAATTTTAATGCAGTTATCTCCCCTTGATTATTTTTCATAATATCACTTTGAGGAGCATAGTATACAACACCTCGGTTATAATAACCTTCATGTAAGATATCACAAGACTTACCTCCCCTTGGTTATAATAACCTTCATGTAAGATATCATATGACTTATCCCCCCTTGGTTATAATAACCTACATGTAAGATATCACAAGACTTACCTCCCCTTGGTTATAATAACCTTCATGTAAGATATCATATGACTTACCCCCCCTTGGTTATAATAACCTACATGTAAGATATCACAAGACTTACCTCCCCTTGGTTATTTTTAGCGTAGTAATTATATTCAGGAGCATCAAACAGTTTGATGTAGGTGTATGGTAAAGGAGGTCCAACATGTCCTATAATATAGTAAAGAATGAACATTATTTTTTTCAGGAATATAATTCCTGTGTCATTATAACATCTTAGGTGCATTAAGAACAATTCTTACACTCCTCGTGACTTTTCCACTATACAAAGAAGAAAAAAGATGGTGTTAAGCTGGCAATAATCTCTGGTACGGACTACATGTATAATTATGGGGCTATTATATTTTCTACCTCTACCCTTTAAAAGGCAACAATAATTACGCATTTTTATTGACATCTTCTGTTCTTATAATGTTTTCTTTTCATATGCTGCTAAAATGATATCTCACATACACTAACGCCACAGATTTGATTAATATCAGTTGATAAAATAATATGACAAATCAGCGCCAATTCGTAAGCAGTGTTATGAAATCATTTAGGTAATTAACAATAAATTGACATTTATTTATTTAAATTAATATTAACCTGCACTCCAGTCTCCAACTAACCCCATAGTTACTGCTGCAACACTTTCTGTTTGTCCAAATGCTTCTACAAACTGTAAATACAGTCAATTATAATCATAACACAACTCTTGTTAACTTCATTACATGATTTTTCATAGTTGCCTCCCTTGTAATGTAAACAATAAATACTGAAGCTGCATGCCTCCAGATCAGCCAAAATATTTCAAGAATTTAGACTTTAGAAAAATGTGCTTGGATTTTAAGAAAAGTAAAATATTTTAGATACAAGTAATAATTATAATGAAATGTATGATTGAGGGCTGATTTTGCAGACTTTATCACCATATTTCTACTGGGTTAATAACACAGTAAAGTCTATTTTTGATTATTTTGACCACTTTTTATTAATTTAAGTGGTTTCCAAGTGCTGTTTGCAATTTGTAAATTATTTTCTTTGTTTACTTAACAATAATTTTCTTTTAAATAGGTTTTTAAAGAAGTTTCATGAAAATTGGCACGAGTCTGGAGGCAGTCTGCTTTTAAATTTGCCATGTTCTTTATATAATATTCTTTCACTCTTTAGTACTAATAAATATACATTTAACACACTCAAAATAAATCAAGAATGCTTTCTTAACCCATTACTTCATATACACGCCTTTTAACGCCTTTTTCACCCCCCCCACTTTTTGTTGTCTCAAATGATGAAAAAATGCCTTATTTAGGCCCCAAACACTTGGTTTTGTTTGAGAAATGTTGTTAAAAAAAGTGACCTCTTTTTCGGCGCGGCCTCCCAACCAAAAGATACATCAGGGGGTTGCCAGAAGGGGGTTTAGGGGGGTTTGAAGGGGGGCGGAGTCCCCCTCATCGCCAAGAAAAATTTTGGACTTGTGAGAGGCTGTAAATGACCCCAGATTGATCATAAGGTAACGTGTAACCAACGCTGAAAAGCATTTGACTCTATCTCAATCCATTGAGAAAGTGCAGCACTTTGAAATCAATTTTGATGGAAAAAATCAACGCAAAATAGTGATTTTTGGCAATTTTGAGATGTCCCCTCGTTGCCATGGTAACAGAAAATTTAAACCTGAGCATGTTGTTGCAAGTGCAATGGTCCAGTCAACATTTGTGCCAAGTTTGATTAGTGTTGAAGCAGTTTTTATAGTATTATAGCAATTTGAACTTGTAACGGGAGACTTTTCAATGAAAACAGCCATTTTTCACAAAATGCTCATGAAGTAATGGGTTAATATATGTTTTATTCCTCCTCTTTATGAATTTTCACAAAGGGGATTAATTCTGTAAATATTCATGCTAGAGTTACAGATCTTTGACAATGGCCTCCAATTAAAATCATAAAGAAATGAATGAAGTTTCAAATATATAACCTCTAACAGTTACCTCAATCAGTAAATTCTTTAAGTAGTAAATAAAATATAAATTTGAGCGCAAACATTAACAGAGAGTTATCTTACAGGAAAATCAATTACAAATATTTCTACTTACCGCACAACCAAGAGCACATCTAAAGAAAGTTAAAACTTCAGCTTCCAGTGGTGCAGAACCTGTGACAACAATATCAACTTTACCACCAAACAATGCCTGAATCTTCTTAAACACAATCTTATCCCAAATACTGTTTCGTCTTATTACATACCTATTCATGAATTTAAAACAAAAATACTGATTAAGCCTATAAAGCTATATAAGCATTAATTTCCCATGATGTTCATGAAAGCAAAGTTTAATCTGACAAAGTTCTACAACATTAATTATTCGACACTAGCCTAAATTCAATTTTACCTTTTTTACATTAATCAAATAGTTTTTTTTTAAACTTGCATTGCTCTTCCTTACAAATTCATCCGTCAAAACAACATTTCAATGTTCTTTGTCCCCTGTACTACCACTGCTTAAATTTGAAACAGTCTCTTGGAGAAAAAAAGTTGATTTTATTTGGGAATTAGAAGTAATGGGATAATAAAATCAGACATCCTTTTTTCTACTTGAGAAACTCACTGTTTCAGTTCTTTCTCCTTGGAGGAAATTGCCCAGTTAAACAGAAACTGTTTCACTTTACTGCTTTTAACTCCTGCAATCACCTGTAGGTCAAAAATAAAATAAATATCAAAACACTTAAAAGATACAATCAAATTTCTGAGTCCACACTTTTAATACAAATAATCAAAGAAATATAACATGCAGTATTTATTTAATCAATCTCTTAAATAAAACAGATTTGAAATAAACTTATAAAACTTTGGTATGGTATGTTATGTTAGTTCTTGTGTGTGGTAACGTGTTCTAAGTGCTCTATCCGTTCTGGTCTTTGCTTTGCTTGAGTCAACTCCCAATTGAGTATGTTAAAATCTATAAGTTGAACTATGAGTAAATGAACATTGTAGAGTTTGTAATCTATGAACATAGTTTCTCCAAAGTTGATCTTTACTTTTATAGTTTAGGAAGGAAACACACGCTCATACCACATTACAGACGGACATGTATACAAACCTTATCATAGATTCTGTTCATAAGTCTGGGAACAGAGAAGAACACAGTTGGTTTTAAAGTCTGTAAATCATCTAACAAAAGTTTTACATCTCCTCGGAAAAATCCAATCTTAGCTCCCTCCATGGTCAAACATTGTTGGCCAATACGTTCATACATGTGAGCTAGAGGTAGGTAAGACAAATGTGTGTCATCTTTATTGAATTTCCTGTAATGCTAAAATCAAGGAAAGATAATATGTTAACATAAAATGAACTAGAAATGTGTCATCATGCCACGGATGCCCCCGCATGCAGCCAAAATTTCAGATGGTGCATTAATTATTTTTTTCATTTTAAGTTCAAAGCCCTTAAAACTTTTCAATGTTAACACAAACCATTTTCATACAATGTTCAAGGCACTGAAATTATTAAGTCTTAACCTTTTAAAAATAGCATATTGCATATTTGTAGCCAAAATAATGGCTAAAAGTATGAGTGAAGAAACTGCCAAAACATCATCAAACTATGACCAAATTCCAACTTGACCTGCCCATTCCTTTGACATATCCATATGTCAAATTTAAGTTAGATAATGAATAGAAACTGTAAATTTCATATTATTTTCAAAGTGAAAGGGGCATTACTCTGCCAAAAATCATTGAACCATGACCAAACTCGAACTTGACCTGAGCATTCCAAAAACATATCCATATGTCAAATTTGAGTTGAATGTGTTGTACCATCGGGGAGATAATAAACGGAAACTGAAAATTTCATATTACTTTCAAAGTGAAAGGGGCATAACTCTGCCAAAAATCATCGAACCATGACCAAATTGGAACTTGACCTGTATTTTCTCATGACATATCCATATGTCAAGTTTGAGTTGAATGTGTTGTACAGTTAGGGAGATAATGAACGGAAACTGAAAATTTCATATTATTTTCATAGTAAAAGGGGCATAACTCTGCCAAAAATCATCAAACCATGACCAAATTCGAACTTGACCTGTATTTTCTCATGACATATCCATATGTCAAGTTTGAGTTGAATGTGTTGTACCGTTGGGGAGATAATGAACGGAAACTGAAAATTTCATATTATTTTCAAAGTAAAAGGGGCATAACTCTGCCAAAAATCATCGAACCATGACCAAATTCGAACTTGCCTGTATTTTCTCATGACATATCCATATGTCAAGTTTGAGTTGAATGTGTTGTACCGTTGGGGAGATAATGAACGGAAACTGAAATTTCATATTATTTTCAAAGTAAAAGGGGCATGACTCTGCCAAAAATCATCAAACCATGACCAAATACGAACTTGACCTGTATTTTCTCATGACATATCCATATGTCAAATTTGAGTTGAATGTGTGCAACCGTTCTTAAGATAATAAACGGAAACTGATGATGACGGAATGACAGAATGACAGAAGGATGGAAGGACGGAAGGACGGAACAGGGTAACACTATATGCCCCGGCCATTACATGGCGGGGGCATAAAAATTTAAGATGAATTACCTCCCATTAATTTGACAAAAAATGTCATTATTTGCATTGCTTAAGTAACTTACTGTATAGATATTAATTGCTTCATTGCCAAAGCTGATCTGAGAAATGACAACAATCACCTTTCTTTACCTTAACTGCCAAATGACTGAATACAAAAATAAATATAGATCCAGTTCATATCATTGTATCTATTTATTAAAATTTATGTTAATATAAAAGTTATCTTAGTATTTCTAAGCTGTTCATTTTAACTCTATTTATTTCTACATTGAATGGGGGTTATCCAATCACATTTTTGTATCACCATACATACATAGTTATGGTTTCCACACAGGATAAATGGCACACAGTGTAAACACATGCACAGAAATATAACATACAGTATAAATATACATGTATAATTTTCCTACAAGTAAAGATTTTACGAAACTTATGCTTGAAGTCATTGCTAAACAGATAAAACCTTACTTAAAATAGCAGAATCATCTTTTATTACGGAAAATTTTATTCTGTTAACATACAATATTCGTAAACGTTAAATAACAGAGGCATTTTATTACAACTCTTCCCAGATCCGACCACAATATAATTTTACTGTTGATAAATTCTTTAAAAATATTCTATAAGATATTGGTTTGTACCCTTTAAACTTACATAGTCATTGATACTAATCATAGTCATCTGAGCAATAGCCTGTCTGTAAGTTATCACCACACCTTTTGGATTACCTGAAAAATTATATATTATTAGTTACAAAGATTTTTGACAGGTTATATGGCCCTATGTCAAAATGGCTGTTTGTATATAACATGAGACATTAGGTGAGAGTTACATTGCAAATAACTATTTATATGGCGAAATAAACTGTTCAGATTCATTATGTTGAAATTTATAGTACAACAAACTTTCTTCCTTAGAGAAGAAAATGAAATTAATTCTAATAAATCGACTGCAGCTATGTATATAGATTATATTAATGTCATGATTATCCACTGAAAAGTCATGTTACAAACATGAAGAATTATAAAATGTGAGACATCTAGTGATATACATATATAATATCATGACACGAAGTTAAACCTATTCTACTTGTATGTAAATAATAAATTTTCAGATAAGTCTTTTTATGAGCATCATCAATTTATGAAAAAGTGGCCAAAAAAATAAGGTCTCAGACTAGTAATCAGAGGATTGTTAGCTGCTTCGGAGCTTGCTGTTTTTTTACTTGAGCAACAATTTATACACATTGGTTAGTACTGGTTGGTTCCAGGAATGCATTTGAGAGTGTTTTAATATATAGCTAATAGCTTCCAACAAAATCCAACTGAAATATATTTGTATAAACTAATGTGAAATATCAGCATAAACAAACTTTCATTATAAATTCATGATTGCAATGTTCAGATATACATTGTGTAAGTTGATATTTCTATTCTGTCACTCTGTCACAAAGTAACTAATAATTCAACTAATACAACTAATAAATAATAACTTCTCCCTGCCAACTTCATCTTTTAAAACTAACCTACTTGACCAGCAAGTCTTAATTTCTCTTCTCTATTAAAATGAATTAGAAATGTGTCGATAGGACACGGGTGCCCCCACCGTGCCACTGTTCTGTCAATCTTTTTACTAAGTCAAGGGAAATAACTCTACAAATACTAGATAAATCCATAAGCTAAACCCCAGGTGCAAATCTAAATATGCTGAGCAACCTGCCCATAAGGTTTAATGACTATGTCTCATCCTTTTTGAGTAACTTGCGACACAAGTTGAAAATTGCAAAAATTTTCTAAGTGAAGGGCAATAACTCTAAAAATACTAAATAAATCTAGACGAAAATACCTGGTGCACAACTGCACATGCTGATCAATATTCCTGTAAAGTTACATGACTCTAGGTCAAATACTTTTTGAGTTACGTGCGACACATGTTGAAAATTGCAAAATTTTACTAAGTCAAGGGCAATAACTCTGAAAATACTAAAAATATCCAGACGAAAATACCCAGGTGCACAACAACACATGCTGATCAACATTCCTGTAAAGTTTCATGATTTTTGGTCAAATACATTTTGAGTTACGTGCGACACAAGTTGAAAATCGCAAAATTTTACTAAGTCAAGGGCAATAACTCTGAAAATACTAAAAATATCCAGACGAAAATACCCAGGTGCACAACTACACATGCTGATCAACATTCCTGTAAAGTTACATGACTCTAGGTCAAATACTTTTTGAGTTACGTGCGACACATGTTGAAAATTGCAAAATTTTACTAAGTCAAGGGCAATAACTCTATAAATACTAAAAATATCCAGACAAAAATACCCAGGTGCACAACAACACATGCTGATCAACATTCCTGTAAAGTTTCATGACTCTAGGTCAAATACTTTTTTGAGTTACATGCGAAACAAGTTGAAAATTGCAAAATTTTACTAAGTCAAGGGCAATAACTCTGAAAATACTAAAAATATCCAGACGAAAATACTAAAGTGCACAACTAAACATGCTGATCAACATTCCTGTAAAGTTTCATGACTCTAGGTCAAATATTTTTTGAGTTACGTGCGACACAAAAGTGAATGGACGGACGAACGGACGGACGGACAAGGGTAAATCTAAATACCCGCCACTAACATGGGGGCACAAAAATTGTATCCAGTTGTTTTAAACATATTCATATTCTCTGGGTAACATTACATGATGGTACATGTACTAAATGATTTCCTCAATGAGATATATTTTGACACAATATTTTAGGTCTCAAGGTCAGACATAAAATATCATAAAAGACTTGTTACATTTCAATTTAATAAAACAAAATACCTGTAGTTCCACTGGTATAACACATTATTGCTATGTCATCAGGACTTGGAGGCTGTTGATTATTAAGAAACAATGGTATTCTTATATTGTGTAATATGATATTTATTTATTTTAGTACCATCATAATAGATCTCATGCATTGAAAATCAATATTTGACATTGACTTTGAGGCTGTGGATTATTAACAAACAACAGTATTCTTATATTGTAATAGATCTTGTGCAGTGAAAAGTGATATTTGACATTGACTTTGAAGCTGCGGAAAAGTAACAATAGTATTCTTATATTATTGTGTAATGTGATATTTATTCATCATAGTACCATAATTATAGACCTCATGCATTGAAAAGCAATATTCAACATTTCATTAAAAACTTGTGCATACTCAGTATTTTTAATACAGTACAGTCTACTGGGGCAAAAAGATACAATCACAAAATCCTTATATTTTATCTTTACCCCAAACACCCTAACTTCTTAAATATCTGAAGACAAAGAGAAAAAATGCTTTGACCATTAGCATATACATGTAAATACAAAAAGAAACAACAGGTATTCAAAATAGTAAGTAGAAAAGGATTTGGTCAAAGTTACATTACATTACAGATATGCTCTTCCTCAAAGAAAGGTTTAATATCTATATTACTGATTTATTAGTTTAATTGAAGAGAATATCGAGACAAATTTTAAAGCCAACAAATTGATCATTTTCTTTACTGAAACAATGAACAAATGTTATATGTCTTTCATAAATCATACTATTTTAAAGCTAGTTGTTCAAAGCCCTAAAAAATGTCTTTTAACAGGCAATTAAATTTACCACAGTTTTTGAGCAACTGACCCAAAAATAATATTGAAGTTTATCTAAAGTTAAAGAAAATTTTACATTACCTGGACATTTCTAATATCAGATTTTCCTTTTTCCTGAAAAGACATAATACAGGTTTGTCAATTCAAATAATGTACATATGAAATATATTAAAACAGTTTACAAAACTTATCATTATTTTATAACTTTATTTTGTTGCAATATTTGTACAGTAAATACTGCCATGAGTGGAAATAGAAAATGGTATTGTAATTACTTTAGAAATAAATCAAAAAATTTGTTAAAATATTGCTAAAAACTATTTACTCTACACTTCAATGAGGTTTAGTTAGAAAACCTATAAATTCATATTCTGATATATTTTTTTTTTCATTTTTATTGTTACATGTCTCTTCTATTTTATGGTAATTTTAAGGGTAAACATCATAGAAAAAAATTACCAGGGCCTCCTTGAAGGAAACAACTTTAATCTTGACCTTGGCTGCAAGTTCTTGATCCACCCCGTCTAACCCATTCATAACAAGGATGGTTTTAAGACTTTTGCCACGCCCATTTGAAACCATTTGTAACAATTTATTAACTTTTTCTGATAAATCAACAACAATTACAGGCATTTCAGCTGAAAAATATAAGAAAAATATAGATAATTGGAAAAACATCTTGTTAGGAAAGGAGTTTGTTAACCTTTTACATGATGTCTTTAATAAAATTTTAACTGTTTTTGTTTGTGACAAAATAAATGTTTCTCTTAGTAAGTATTTTCAACAGAGTTTTAAGTCTTACTAAATTCTAATTTGGTGACTGTCCAGCTTTTATAGTGTAAAAAAGCCTCATAAAAAGCATTTTTGCATGCATCTTGGAATGGATGAGATTTGTGACTTTAATAACATTCAAATCCAACAGAACTTAAGAGTGAAAATATTAAAAATCAAAGACAAGGGCAGTATCTGACTACCATCATGTGAGAGAAAATTTATTGTTTAAACTTGTGTTAGATATTAATAGAAAATAAAATCTAACTTTGCTCCATGATGAATGTGACAGCATCATCTCCTAGAGTGTCATATAACGCCACTGGTACAAAACTATATGCTGAACAAGCTTTCTCTGTTATTACCCACTGTAATGTAATAAATTACCCTCTTCATGTAATAAATTACCCACTGTAATGTAATAAATTACCCACTGTAATATAATAAATTAACCACTGTAATGTAATAAAAATTACCCACTGTAATGTAATAAATTATCCACTGTAATGTAATAAATTACCCACTGTAATATAATAAATTACCCACTGTAATGTAATAAATTACCTACTGTAATGTTATAATTACCCACTGTAATGTAATATATTACCCACAGTAATACAGTAAATTACCCACTGTAATGTAATAAAATACCCACTGTAATGTAATAAATTACCCACTGTAATGTAATAAATTACCCACTGTAATATAATAAATTACCAGCTGTAATATAATAAATTACCCACTGTAATGTAATACATTACCCACTGTAATATAATAAATTACCCGATGTAATGTAATAAATTACCCGCTGTAATGTTATATATTACCCGCTGTAATGTAATAAATTACCCACTGTAATATAATAAATTACCCATTGTAATGTAATAAATTACCCACTGTAATGTAATAAATTATCCACTGTAATGTAATAAATTACCCACTGTAATATAATAAATTACCCACTGTAATGTAATAAATTATCCACTGTAATGTTATAAATTACCCACTGTAATAAATTACCCACAGTAATACAGTAAATTACCCACTGTAATGTAATAAATTACCCACTGTAATGTAATAAATTACCCACTGTAATGTCATTAATAACCCACTGTAATATAATAAATTACCCACTGTAATGTTATAAATTACCCACTGTATTGTAAAAAAGTACCCATTGTAATGTAATAAATTACCCACTGTAATGTTATAAATTACCCACTGTATTGTAAAAAATTACCCATTGTAATGTAATAAATTAGCCATTGTAATGTAATAAATTATCCTCTGTAATGTAATAAATTACCCATTTTAATGTTACAAATTACCCATTGTAATATCATAAATTATCTTCTGTAATGTAATAAATTACCCACTAAAATATAATAAATTAGCCACTGTGATATAATAAATTACCCATTTTAATGTAATAAATTACCCAATGTAATGTAATAAATTACCCACTGTTTTGTAAAAAAATTACCCACTGTAATGTTATAAATTACCCACTTTAATGTTATAACTTATCCTCTGTAATGTAATATATTACCCATTGTAATAAAATAAATTATCCTGTGTAATGTAATAAATTACCCATTTTAATGTTACAAATTACCCATTGTAATATCATAAATTATCTTCTGTAATGTAATAAATTACCCACTAAAATATAATAAATTACCCACTGTGATATAATAAATTACCCATTGTAATGTAATAAATTACCCACTGTATTGTAAAAAATTACCCACTGTAATGTAATAAATTACCCACTGTGATATAATAAATTACCATTGTATTGTAGAAAATTACCCACTGTAATGTAATAAATTACCAACTGTAATGTAATAAATTACCCATTGTAATGTAATAAATTATCCTCTGTAATGTAATAAATTACCCATTGTAATATCATAAATTATCTTCTGTAATGTAATAAATTACCCACTGTGATATAGTAAATTACCCACTGTAATGTAATAAATTACCCAATATAATATAATAAATTATCCACTGTAATATAATAAATTACCCATTATGATAGTAGTAGAAGTAGTTTATATATATTCTATTTGTATAAAGAGCAGGACCCTTTGCTGCAGACTTCTAACTTGTTGTAGTTTGATATTAAACACTATGATATTTTACATTTAAAGAAGCTACGAGATACCATAAGGAAGGTTGGTAGTTAAATTAAAATGTTTTGCTCCTGGCTGTAATCGTGCACAGAGTGTCACCGGAGATCACAGGCTCTATAAGTAAAACTTTGACAACACTCCATCTCTAACCTGACTTACCTTAGAGAACAAGAGCGATCAGTGATCACATGTGTTACCTCATGATAGTTAATTGCATGTTGCAGCTACTGTGTAGCAGAAGACACAAAAATCATGAATTAACAGGGCAAAATGCGATATTCATCCAAGGGCCATAGACCAGCCAAAATCATTCATCTGGAAAACATGTGTACTATGCCCAAGTACTTAAGCCTTCGATCAATCCTGTAAAGTTTCACTGAAATTGCATTAGTGGTATAAGAGGAGTAGTTCAAAATAAAATTCATTAAAGGGCCATAACTACTCTGTAGGGATGACACAAAAAGTCACGTACCTCAGATCTATTTTGACTGAAGATACCAATAATTGTCTTGTCTTCACTCTTCATTCCCTGACCGACCATCCATGACCCCAGTGATATAGACTGGTCATATACCTACAACAACATAAATTTATACATCAACAGAACATATGCATGTCTTGAATGATAACAAAATAGATTAATGCAAACTTGAATATTGATCACTATTCAGTCCTTATTGTAAACAGAATTTGTGTAAAGAAAACAAACAAGAGCTGTCCGTAAGACAGCGCGCTCGACTTTTTTATTGCTTGCCAATAAAAAAAGTTTTTGCAGTAAAAGGCAATACAAGAATCTCTGTATTTTTAAAGTGAACAATGGCCATGAGCATTAAGATATTTAGTGAAGAATTATTTTACTGAATTGTGTGATACCCTTGAACACTGCAGCAAAGTTTGAAATGTTTAAGTCAAAAGAGGGCTGGTAAGAAAGAAAAAAAAAACTAGTTGTTTGATACCCTTGAATATTACAGCAATGTTTATATGACATAATTTATGGTAAAGTGAACAAGTGGATAGGAATGAATTTTTTTAGATTTTTTAAGTTTTTTAGTGCTTGCCTATAATACAAAACATTGACAGTTAAGGGCCATAATTCAAATAAAATCTTTGACAGAATTACCTTCTCCTGGACATGTTTGGGAATCATGATTGTAAACAAGTATTCCAACTTTCAAATTAATATCTCAAACAGTTCAGTCAAAAAGTGGACTGGTACTAAAAACTTAACCAAGATTCTAAGTCGATAAAAGGCCTTAATTTTTAAAACAAATCCTTGACAGAGTTACCTTCTCTTGCGTACAGATGGGGGTAATGATGTGAAATAGCATTAAAAGTTTCAAAGCAATATCTCAAAGGGTTAAGGCAATAAGTGGATTTTACCCATATTCAATGTATTTTCTAAGTCAAAAAGGGGCATAATTCTGTCAAAAACCTTGACAGAGTTATGTCCTCTTGTCTGTTGATGAAGGTCGTGATGGTAAACAAGTATGGTCAGTTTCAAAGCAATACCTCCAATGGTTTTGAAATAAAGTGAGGTGGTACAAAAAACTTAACCAAGCTCAATACACTTTCTAAGTCAAAAAAGGGCCATAATTCTGTCAAAAACCTTGACAGAGTTATGTACTCTTGTCTGTAGATGGAGGTTATGATGGTGAACAAGTATGGTAAGTTTCAAAGCCATACTTGTAATACTTCTGAAATAAAGTGGGGTGGTACGAAAAACTTAACCAAGGTGTGACGCCGACGCCGACGCCGGGGCGAGTAGGATAGCTCCCCTTTTCATAGAAAAGTCGAGCTAAAAAAGATTAACTTTGCAGAATAAGTGATATATTATACAAAAAGCCAACTGAAGGGTATTATTAGACCGTACAGTGTGTGAGTAAAAGCTAGCTACCAAAAACAGTTAGAAACTAAGAGTACTTTAAAAGTAATATCTATTTATGATGACCTGGCCTCAGGGTTATGTTTTTCACATTTGTGTCTCAAATCTTAGGACTCTGATTGGTCAGTGTACACACTTGCAAAGTTTATGCGAGGTTAATGACCAATAAATTAACTGAGATCTGTGTTTGAGCCTGTAACATTTCTTTTTAACCTCAGACCCAGTTCTTTGTACATGTGATAGTAACTATAGTAACTATTTTCTTTATGTTATATAAGACGGAGAACTTCAAATATATTAATATAAAGTGTTTATAATAGAGCCTGGCTAACATCGCATCACTGTATATATAAAATAAAAGAAATTCAAAGATAAATATCTTACATCCTGGTATGACAACCATTCATATTCCTGATTTGGACCAGAACGTGTTCCAAGAAATGGACCATTACCTGTATAAAAGGACAATTATAACATTAACTAATATATATGTTTTTCTTTTTTTATTTTATTTTCTATTGCTAACGATGTTAAGTAACATTTGTAACTAACCGACAACAAAATAACTGCTATCTTGAAAGTAACGTTAACTTCCCTTAAAATCTAAAAATAATTTTACACTCGAGTTTATAATTGTACAAATAAGGTTTATATTAATAAAACTTTATTATTCTTACCTGACAGTTTAATGCCTCTCTGAAAAACATCATAGAAGGTTTCCATGCCTTCATAAAGTGGCTTGTACTCTGCCCCTTTAGGAACCAGCTTGCTCGTTCTAGAACCATCCTAAAATTGGTAAAAAACTAAGATCTATGAACCCTATATTATCATACTGAGCGTTTGACAATATTTTAATTCAAACTGTTCATTATTCTAGATCAATGCACTCAAAACTTTGAAAGTAAACATTAGAAATTGAACACAAGGAACCCAATGCTATTATACTTAGCCTAAGTAACACATGTATTTCTGTCAGTAATTTGTCTGTACCATTAAATATTCATGCTGCATGACATTTAATGTAGTGCATATTACAGTAGTTCAGAGTTGTAACAAATAAAACACTGATCATTAACATCAATTAACTGGGGGAATGTTATATAATGTAAACTTAATATTCTACCCGACTCTTTTACAGTAATGAAAGCATTTCTTTCATAATGTAAACTTTATTTTCTACATGATTCTACTGTAGTAAAGAAAGTATTTCTGTTATAATGTAAACTTTATTTTCTACATGATTCTACTGTAGTAAAGAAAGTATTTCTGTTATAATGTAAACTTAATTTTCTACATGATTCTACTGTAGTAAAGAAAGCATTTTTTTCATAATGTAAACTTTATTTTCTACATGATTCTACTGTAGTAAAGAAAGCATTTCTTTCATAATGTAAACTTTATTTTCTACATGATTCTACTGTAGTAAAGAAAGCATTTCTTTTATAATGTAAACTTTATTTTCTACATGATTCTACTGTAGTAAAGAAAGCATTTCTTTCATAATGTAAACTTTATTTTCTACATGATTCTACTGCAGTACAGAAAGTATATGTTATAATAATCTTCAATCTTTATATCATATTGTCAAATAAAGAAGACTCAGAAATATACCTCTAGAAGATAGGACTGGTCTTTTAAGTCAACCGGTGGTATACAATTCGGGTCTGGCATATTGGCAACATAGTATGTAGCTGCAAGCCCTGCCACAGCTGTTCCAACCCCTATTGAGGTACACAAAGGTCCCCATTGCTCTAATATATTTTCCATCTGAAAAAATAAATAATGAGATGTGACACATTTGAAAATTTCCTACAATATATATATTGTAAAAGTTAAACTTACCTAACCTTTTGGAAATACATGTATATAGGTAAGAAAGGTAGTCATGAATTATATAAACCTGTGTTCCTACAAACCATTTTCCTCAGACTTTAAAACATGTTAAATGCTTTGAAAGGCCATGGAGTGAACCAGACATAAAAGCATACATGAATGTTATTAAGCAAACATAAATGACATTTAAGCAAACATAAACAACATAAAGCTAACATAAATGCCAGTAAAAACATAAGTGACATTTAGCTTACATAAATGTCATTAAGCTAACATAAATGACATTAAGCTAATATAAATGCCATTTAGCTTACATAAATGATATTAAGCTAACATAAATGTCATTTAGCTTACATAAATGATATTAAGCTAACACAAATGATATTTAGCTAACATGAATGTTTTTGACATTAATGTCAGTAAGCAAACATATATAAGGAAAAACATAAAGGCAATTCACCTAATACATGTATGTACTGCATATACAATTTTACATTTCCAAAATGCATTGACTGTACCCTCAAAGTATGCAAAACCAAGTATGTTGAAGAGCTTTTTCTTTAATGGAGCAGATATTAAGTCTAGAATAGTTCATCTAATGATCGCAGATGTACATCTGACTTCAATGAATTCAAACAACTAGTTGAAACATAGAGTAATGAAAAGTATGCTTTCTTTATGTGTATCTAATGTTCTGTTTCATTTAATTCCTGTCTTGCTAGTAATTTCATTTTAGTTATCTATTCCTTGAATTATGTACTATGTATATGTGTAAAACCCTGTTCTTCCAACTTTATTATACAGGACTGTATTTTTTCATTTTCATTTTAAATGCTCTGATTTCATTACCAATATCAATATGAATTTATTTGTATGTATAATTATCTTAACAATGGTTTATACACTTTTTTGTTTCTTATCATTTTATCTTGTGTTCATATGGGATACAAGCTTAAAACTTAATATGTTGTTGTACTATTAGCCATAACCAACTATAAGATGTTTCTATCCCAATCCCTATGAAAGGGCAAAACTGGCATGGATGTATCATGTGTATGATAATATATATAAACTGACACTATATTATAAATGTTATCTCAGGTTTAGTATCTTATCTTGGTTACGTTTTTTTCTCCATTTATTTTACATAAATCAACCAACATGACACAAATCTCTGTAACAGATACCTGGATACATTATAACCTTCAAGATTTGAAATATGTTATGTAGCCTATTTATAATGCAAATAATACCAATTATCTTATTGTTACTGTCCCAGACATCAAGGGAGGTAACTAGTCATTAAACTTGATACTTATTTCAACAAATAAAAAGAAAACAAAAAATAACCTGCTCTTAACATTTACTATTCTATTAGAAAACATTAGATCAAATTATGTTAATGTAAATAAGTAATATATGCTTTAAAAAGAGAGGTTTCATTGTATGCAATCACACACTACTTTTTCATTCTGTCAATTATCTTTAAACCTGCATTGAGGTTAAATGCTAAAAAAACTTTTAATTTAACCTTGCTTACAAAATCGGCAGCATTGTTTTCAAAATGTTACTGAAACTGGGACCTCACTGAAATATTTTGCCACCTTTTCTATACATTATCAAGATCAGACATTTTTACCTTTAGAATAAACAGTTGATATATTTACAATATGTTTTTACCTTTAAATAGCTAACATATATCCTACTTCTTTTATATATAACACATTAATCACATAGTTATATACCAGTAATATAAAATATACTCCAAAAATACTAAATCCTTGACATGCATGAATACAGTTTAAGATATAAACATACAAACTTTTAAACTACCGGTACAGCTTTATAGCAGTTTCGATTTATAGGTCAATGACGCTCATTAAAAGTAACCTTATCTTATACAGTAATAGTAGTAACCTTGAGGTTAAAGATCTTTTTTTTAAAAAAAATAAACATTCATGTGAACTTGATTATTGTTTGATATTTGTTAGCACTGATTATACGGTCAGTGCACACAGATTTATCTTTGATATATGTTCTGTAAAGTTGATAAGATGTACACAGTACTAATAGATATGTTTAAATTTATTTTTGCTTATAAATATTTGTACTGAGTGTTATATTGAGCGTAACACTGCCGGGTATATGTCGATTTTGTAATTTCTACATGTCCTACGTGTTGAAAGATTGGTACTAAGTGTTGAAATAAAATGTTTTCTTGTTTTGTTTTGTTTTATTTTAAACATTATTGGGGCCATGATGGTTTTTATGTCGTGGTTTTTTATTTAATATGTTTGCACATATTTTGACACAGTCTATTCCTCTTTTTAAAATAACATCATTAAGAAAAAATATCTTTATAACTGAATATTAATTTAATGTCATTTAAATTCTGTTTAATATAATACAAGTCTAGATGCTCAAAACCATGTACAAAATTAATGATGTCACATCAAAATAAAAGCACAAACCATGCAATACCGTTTTAACGGAGTTGTTAAAGCGTCATGGATATGTGATAAATACGGTTAATGCATATGTATACATAAACATTCAATTATATACATTAAAATAAGTCGTTATCTGAAAACTTAGGTATGTATGAAGCCAAATATAAGTCTGTTAAACGTTAATTTTCGAGTTGCTTAAATCTTAAATTGATCTGACAACTTTCTGATGGAACAGACTTATATCAATCAACTCAGTTATAATTTATATGTGTTTACAAATAAGAAGATCTTATCACATAAACTGCGGCGCAGAAGTGTAATAAAGCCATTTAATGAAAATGATATTACACTAGTGTAACAACACTTTGACATGACGTCATTTGCGCTATATATAAACATAGCGTTAAAGCGTGTTACACTATAGGCGCATCAATGAAAAATGACTCTTTTTAACAGTTTACCATTCTTATTTTATTTATGTGATAAATAGAGGATATTGAATGAGTGTATGTTCAACAAATTTAGTATTCAATAAAATCATATTATGCGAGCCTCTGGCGAGCATTATAAAAATTGTTTTATTCAACTCGTTCAATTGTATTAAACCTACACAAATATAATATTCTATTCTATCTTGCTGGTATTAGTTGTTTTATCCAGAACTCGGCAAATGTGGGTTTTTCCAAGCTAATCCCTCAGTACAAACTTTTAACTTTTACCAAAATATGTTTACGTAGCACTTATGATCATTATAGATTTGTTAATAGGTTGCACTTATTTCTGAAGCTGGAACACTGTCAACAAACCTTAAAATTACTATTAAGTAAGTAAAAAGATGTTAACCTTTACAAATGTAGGTTTTTCTCATATAATACCGCAGTACAAACAATCTGTTACAGCTTCAGGGTTACAATAATCAAACTGTTCATGAATGGGCGGTCAGCATGTTGCAATATCAAAATATTTACTAAAATTTAATTATAAAAGTTCATTTATCGCGACACAAAAGAGAACGGACGGACGCACGGACAAGGGTAAATCTAAATGCCCGCCACGTAAGTGGGGGCACAAAAAGATTTCTTGGGTTTAAAATTTTAAATGCTTTTTATTCAATCTAAATGATTAGAAGACACAATATAATGAGTATTGTAACAGGAAGATATTTCAACAACTAGACTGTGTTGTGACTACCTTTCATATAATTTATTCAAAAGATAAAAATCTTAACCTTGAGAATAAAATTTCAATTAATATATTAAAGCATACTTTTACATAAAATAGACAACGGTGCAATCACTGCAGACAGCAACCATCTTCATATAAAACAATGGCAAAAAGTTTTATTTAAAAGGGGCCATAACTCCAAGAATATAGCTTTCTAAATTATGCCCCTTGTAAAGCAACTTACCCCTGGTCATGATTAATAAGTATTCTAAACTTAAAATGTTTGAATAATTGGCTACATTAAAGTTTATGCCCAATGACCCTTGGCCCAACTTTATATGTAAAGATAAAGATATCAACTTAACCATAATATATTATGATAGACTTTTTTAGGTTATTTATTTTCTTTTGTTTATACTATTATACATCAGTAAGCACTTTAGTTTAATATGATTAAATTTGTTGTTCATGATTGTTTGAGTTGAACATACTGAATTAGTAGATGGGCCACTTTTATTATGGAACCTGCTTCAATGGGACCTGCTGAAATTGAAAGTGATATAAATCTCTCAAAGATATAAAATTCATTTACTTTAACATATACAGGGATGTATATTATAAACACATTACTGGCATATAGTGATATACAACAGATATATTATCATAACATATTATAAGAGAAATTGTATTTTACTGTAAATACAAAAAATACTTATTAGAATTAAAGTAATACAGTATAATTAAAAAAAGACATAAGTTACTAAGTTTCAAAGTAACACATATAACATTTAAAATAAGAACCGGTTGAACTAAATGCCCCCTGAATCGGTTTTGGACACAAGAAAGTATACCTATTGTAGTTTCAGAGTTATGTCTCGGACAAAGTTAAAAGTGCAAAAATTTCAAACTTGGGCAAGACAGAGTAACAGATGTTCTTTGCACGGCCTATTACTGAATGATATCTACCTTATACCTACAAAGTTTCTTGTTCATATTTCTAATGTCCTGAGACAAAGTTCGAAGTGTAAAATTAACATAGGGCAATTAAACTCTAAAATAAGGCAAGGCAGAGTTACGGTTCTTGTGCACTGCACACTTACCCAATGAGATCTATCTACCTACAAAGTGTCTTGTTCATATCTATTATACTTTCATAACTATGTCCTGGACAATGTTCAAAGTGTAAAAATGGACAAAGGGTAATAACTCCAAAAGTCGGCAAGATAGAGTTATGGTTCTTTGGCACTGCACATCTACCCATGGAGATCTGTGTACCTATGAAGTTTCATGTTGATATATCTGATAGTTTTAGATTGATGTCCCAAACAAAAGTTAAAAAAAAGGAACAAAGGGCAATAACTCCAAAATAAGGCAATGCAGAGTTACAGTTCTTGTGCAAAGCACATCTATCAATTAGATCTATCTACATATAAAGTTTCATGTTGATACCTCTTGTTGTTACAGAGTTATATCCTTGACAATAAAAGCGGACTCAGACCAACGGACAAAGCGCTATATATGCTCACCCTTCGGGGAGCATAAAAAAGACCTAAGTAACTTAGTTTCAAAGATACATTTGTTATAATATGGTTCCTTATCATTAAAACAAACCCTGGCATAATGTTACATGAAGAAGAAAAATTAAAAATCCTTATAGTATTACAGAAATAGTACAACTCTTTCCTAAATGTTAAAAAAGTTTACATTATAAGTATGACTTCTTAACCTGACATCTAGTATACAGCAAGAGCACAGATTTTAACTTTCAAACATTATCAAAATAGACAGAGGATTATCAAACTATCACATGACAAAATTAAGTAAAACTTTGATCCTTCACATGACCAGTTATCATACTTACATGTATATGTAAATGTTTCCCCACAACAATGATCTACCTGATTATCTCAGCCAATCTAGTTAAAACATTGTTGAAGTGACCCACTGATGTACCCAATTTCTGACATACTTGCTTTACTACCTTCAAAAGTAGTATCCAGAGATAATAGAAATTTTAAAATTATGTCTTGAATTATATAAAAGGATACAAAACCAATAGAAATTTAGACAGGAAGGAATTTACTAAAATGGCTTCTAATTTCAGTGGATCACTAACACAAGACTCTGATGAAATTAAAGAAATGTATTGTGAGGAATGTGACAGACATGGTGATGGTTATGCTACAGCTGTAGCTTTCTGTGTAGAATGTGTGGATTATTTATGTGTGACATGTCTTAGATATCACAAAAGACAATTTAAAACTCACAAAATCCAAGACCATAACAATATGCCACAGGATTTTTATTTTCAGAAATGTTCCACTCACCCTGGACAGCTGGTCAAGTTTTACTGCATCGAGTGCAATAAAGAAGCCTGTCAGGAATGCAAGGATAATGACCATGTAAACTGCAGTGATGTCAACCATTTACCAACCCTTGCCTCAGACATACAAAAAAGTGATGAACTAATAAACTTTAGCAAAAATATGGATCAATTGTCAAAGGATATAAAAGACACAGAAAAGGTGTTAAATGCTAAAAGTGAAGTGATTAAGAAACAAGAGGAAAATGCAACTGATACATGCATAGAGCATAGCAACAAACTGATAGCAACTTACAAACAACAACATCAAGATCTAATTGATGAATTTGATAAGAAAATGGAAGAGACCATTGCCAGGTTGAAGAAAGAAAGGTTAGAACTACTTCAAAAGGTATCTGAAAAGAAAAGAAAATTTGAAGAAAAAGTAAGACAAGCTGAAACAGATATAAAAGAAGAGGTTGTTAGCACAAACCCAAACTTTAAAAAACTCAAGTCTGAACATTTGAATTTGGTTGGAAATTTAAAAGCTCTTACTGTTGATATAGAGCAGGCTCAGAAATTAGGAAAAAACTGTGAACTGTTTATAAAACTCAAGTTAGCGAAACAAATGTGTAAACATATTCAAGTTACTTCTGACCAAATTCAACTTTCCTACATACAACGATACAAACTAAAAGAATCTGACATTCAACCAACAATACAATCTCTAGAGGATCAAACAAGGTTTTTCTCATTTGATGAAGTACGTGTATCAGCTGTAGAGAAAAAGATTACATTTAATTTTGATATCAATCATGAGTTTGGAAGTATAACTTCTTTACTTGTGCTATCTGAACATAGACTTCTTACATCAAATTATAATAGGCGTAGTCTAGTCATATTTACACTTGAAAAGTCAAAGGCAGAATATTTAAAAGAAACAAATTTTAACACTTCTCCTCGGGGAATAACAAAAGTTTCAGATAATAAAGTTGCAGTCACATTTCCAGATGAAGAAATGATCAGACTGATTACATTTTCTGAGGAAATGGACGTTTTAGATACCACTGAGATACCAGGACATGGTTGTTGTTGTGACATTGCTTACAGTAATAACCATCTTGTTGTTTCATATTACAAATCCTTTACAGGTAGTATTAAGATTTTAAGTATGTCAGGTAAAATAGTGAAATCATTTGACAGAGATGACAATGATCAAAATCTGTTTACCTATCCTCAGTACTTGACGGTCAGTCCTGACAATTCTATGATATATATCTCAGATAGTGGCAGAAACATTGTGACCTGTTTGACATCTGATGGTAAAGTGAAGGCTATCTACAAAGATGATCAACTGAAATATCCTCAACAACTTGCTGTTGATGAATATGGATCAGTTTATGTGTGTGGTCATGACTCAAACAATGTCCATCAATTATCACACGATCTCATCAAAGTGAAGATACTGATAGATGAAAGCCATGGCATACTTGGACCAAAAAGTATTGCATATTGCCAGCATACCAAGAGATTATTTGTGGGAATGTATAGAAATTGTAAAATTAAGGCCTATAATGTAACACTCAAGAATAAATTATTAAATCAATTTCAGTCTCATTAATTCCAATTTCTCATATTGCTATATAATAAATAATCTCAGAGACTTAGTTATGGATATGTTATGAGCTGTTTAAATTTCCTGCTATTTGCTATTACAGTTTATTCCTTTTATTTATTTATTTTATTTTCAATAGTTCAGCATTACGCCTAGTTAGTGTTAAACTAAAATTTATTACCTAAATTGTTGTATGAATAAATAAAATTGAGATCTAGTCATGATGTGTTACTTGTTACAATCTGATAGTCCTTCACTTAGACAATGTAATGTAATAATTCCCATTCAACACTGTTTACATAACATAACAATTCGACCATATGCCCATTTCCAAAAAGTATATACTTTTCCCCTGTTTCTGGAAAAAATTCCCATCCATCAGTAAAAAAAATCCCCTTTATTTTAAACCATTTTTACTGAATGAGAGATCCATCATGGCAAGGCCAGTTAGCATGCAAAGATCATGACTTGAACAAAGTTGGAGGCGGGGTTCCAGTGATTTATTTTTTTGTTTATTTTAGAGCCATTATTGGGTCATATTCTCAACTGAAAATAGTATATTACTTTCCCAATTCACAGGAAAAAATTTCCAATTGGAAGCTAAATAATAAAAATATTAAATAAAAATTCTAAAATCTATGCAAATAAGGGCTTCTTCACTGTGATAGTGCTTAAATGTTTGAAGATGCCATCCTAGACAGTAATTGATTGCATCCATTTAATCACTGCAAAATTTCAGTCATGCATTTTTTTCCAATTTTTAACAAAACACCACTGAAATTCCCAATTATATGGGTATAGGACGTGCTCCCAAAATCCTGGAAAAAATTCCTGGACTGTTCTATAAAATGATTTTCATTGGTATGGATTCCATAAAAAGCTTATGAAGTTATCTTTGATACCAAAATTATTATAATTGTTTAAAAATTGAAGAAGTAATAAAGAAGCCCCATGTTTCCTTCACTTTTACTGAGAAATATTTGAGATGTGCCATGTTTTATTCATTAATTGTAATAATTTAAATAAATATCTTTATAAATATCATTATCACATCCCCATAAAGGGCATTGCATGGCCGTGCATATATTTCTAGATGTGATGTCATTTGCATCATTATACATTGTAAGAGTGTCAATAAATAAGTGCTCTATCCTTATGGACTGGAAACCGTTCTTAGATTGGATATGTGATAAATAGAATATTTAAGTCATTAGTATTGAATTAATTACTAAATTCATTAAAGCCAGTGGCTTGCATTTTTTCAATAAAAAAACAACAGTTATAATCGCTAGGCGGAGCATTATATGCCCGAAAGTACTTTTTCTTTTAGTAAGGATGAAGCATTTGTAAAACATGGAAATTAAATACAGTATTCATTCATGTATTTATACAGTTGCTGTTTTCAAAGCACCACCATCAAGTTGTTATCTTGTAAGTTAAAATGCTACAACGGATGGACGGATGGACGAAAAAACGTCAGGGGTATAAAGCTCTTAATCCTATAAAATTTTACAGCTGTAGGTTGATTAATGCTTGAATTATTGAGCGAAAACTGTTTCAAGTTTACAGGTGATAAAAACTTTGATCTTTGACCTTGTGACCCCAAAAATAAATAGGGGTCTTCAACCCAGGCTGTCAACCAGGTCTTATCCAAAATAAAGGAGGAATATAGGAATATTTTAGCAGGAAATATAGAAGTTTTTGGACCATTTTGAGGCAAAAAAATAGGAGTTTTCAACTTAAATTGTTTAACTTACCAATGCTTATATAAATGTAAATTATTCTTACTTTTACACATGCTGTTTCTACAATAAAATGTCTACGGTATTAGTGAAGGAAACCATTAGCAGGCTGTCCAGCACCTTCCGACATAAAATTAGGGCGAATTTTACGGTAATATTTCAGAAATTTTAGGGCTAAAATTAGGAATTTTAGGGTACGTAATAGAAATTTTAGGGCTAAAATTTGCAATTTTATGACTAAATAAACTAAGGTCCATAAAGACCACGATGTGGGCTAACCTTTGCATATTTGACACAAAATTAAGTCACAAATAATGCAGAGCAAAGGTGCTACCAGTGTGGACTCACTGGTCAACTGCCTCCCCTGCGGAAATGGTCATAGTCAAATCATGTTCAAACCATATTTTTTAAAATGGCTGAACATGTCAAAAAGAACATGTTCTACCTATGTTTTGGGAATGTTATAACCACAAGACTTAGTGTCTTAAAGCAATTCTTATACAATAAAATTCTTGCACAATGCAGCAGCTTTTAAATCATAATTATGGACAAATGAATTTTTTGTAAAAGTAGGTAAAAAGTAAAAAGTCATTTGCCTTAGTACAGTCATTTGAATAATGGGAAGCATCTATAATCAACACAAAGAATTGCACATCAAAAAAGTTCATCACACAGACCAATCAATTGCAGTTTATCTAGATCACATAATTGCAAAATGTGTGTACATTGTAATTGGAAATTGCTTTATATTACTGAACTGCCAAATTATTTTGAGGGTGATTAATTATATGAGTCTGCCTTTCCTAAATTGCACCATATGAATGAAAGAACAAGAACTGAATGAAATTGATAACTTTGTGGCAAAATAAGCAATTTCTCCTACAAAGATACGAAAAGAATAAATAAGTATGAGGGAAAGAATTAATTTTTCAAAGTCTATGTTAACCCATTCAGTACTTTACAATGTTGTTTTGATATTATGCAGATTTAAATAAAAGAGTTGTGAGAAAACCAATTGTACATTTGTTTTTGACAACTATTTATACATGTTTTTAATTAAGATTGTGTTACAACAGCTTCATAATGATCATTTTCAAATATGATATGATACAAATGGACCACTTCAGAAATTTGGATAAAATGAACAAACATAAAATTCAAGATATCTGGAGTTGGCAAAACAGTGTCAAAATATTCCAGAATAAGTGGACTCTTATGGTTATGATTTAAGTTTCAGGACAATGATATGGTAGCGTTTTTGCTGTTAACTGTCAACATGATTATTAACAACTGCTTTGATTATGAAATAGCAATGTTACTGACATAGTCAAAGTAACTTTAGTTGAAACGAAACCATTTCAATGTCATCAATTTTGAGTTGGCAAATCATGGCCAAATCATTTTTGACAATGTTCAAAACATGCCCGACTTTGAGTTATGTTTACAAATTATAAGTATGTTTAGTACAAAAGATAAAAATAATTAGGAATTTCAGTGAAAAATAGGGCATTTTTAGGAATGCCCTTCGAATTTTTCACTTTTTTAGGAATTTTAGGGATGCTGGACAGCCTGCATTAGCTTTGAACCACAGCATCAGCAGAAAGTTACAGCAATGCATTACCATCATCTGAATGGTCACCATCATCTGAATGGTCACCTGAAATAAAGTTGACATACTGATGCACTGCTTTTCATGCTGACCATGCAGATGGCTATGTGGAGCACAGCAGCCTTTCACAGCACAGCACATTCTCTTACCTGTAAAATACAAAAGGCCAAAAGCAATACCAAAATTTAAATCTCTTTGAATTCCTCGGCAATATATTTTTAAAAAAAATATAGGAAAAATATTCAAAATATAGGAGAATATAGGAAAAATAGGAGGTTTTTTAAAATATAGGATTTTGACCCAAAATATAGGAGTTTTATAGGAATATAGGAATTGGTTGACAGCCTGTCAACCCAATATGGACAGCATTCTATGAAGTTTGAATACTGTGGGCCAAATGGAACTTATGTTATGCTCCAGAAATCATTTTCAGTATTAAGCTAATAGTGACCTTGACCTTTGACCTTGTGACCCCAAAATCAATAGGGGTCTTCTACCCAATATGGACAATCATCCTATGAAGTTTGAATACTGTGGGCCAAATGGAACTTAAGTTATGCTCCGGAAACCATTTTCAGTTTTAGGGTAATAGTGACCTTGACCTTTGACCTTGTGACCCCAAAATCAATAGGGGTCTTCTACCCAATATGGACAATCATCCTATGAAGTTTGAATACTGTGGGCCAAATGGAACTTAAGTTATGCTCCGGAAACCATTTTCAGTATTAAGCTAATAGTGACCTTGACCTTTGACCTTGTGACCCCAAAATCAATAGGGGTCTTCTACCCAATATGGACAATCATCCTATGAAGTTTGAATACTGTGGGCCAAATGGAACTTAAGTTATGCTGCGGAAACCATTTTCAGTTTTAGGGTAATAGTGACCTTGACCTTTGACCTTGTGACCCAAAAATCAATAGGGGTCTTCTACCCAATATGGGCAATCATCCTATGAAGTTTGAATACTGTGGGCCAAATGGAACTTAAGTTATGCTCCGGAAACCAAATTGCTAACGGACGGACAGATGCCAGGGGGTATAACAATAACCATAATATGCCCAAAAATTCTTTCAGGCATAAAATAAATGAAATGATGAATAAGTACCTTGCGTGTGTTAAATTACATTGTCACAATAAAATGATAGTATATATTTTTTCTAAATAGTTTTATGGATGATAATTGGCCATTTATTATGACAAGATTTCAGATAGATCTAATAGAAACAAATTCAGCTTTAATTAAGTAATTTTCGTAAGCTGATGTAAATTTTGTGTTATTTATAATTCTTAAAAATATTTTGTAATAATCAAACTAAACTGCTGGAAATAGACCCATATATTTTAATGTCAAGTCAGAAAAGTCAATTAAAGTCCCTGATTTACACAATAGGGTGCTTGTGCAATCATGAAAAACAGCTGTGCTGCATCATGAAAAGAAATATTCAATGCCGGCTAAAAGTGATCAAAATAAAAAATTTATTACAACTGCATTAATTTACATAGATCTTATCTATATTGTGCATAGAAATGATTAAATAATGTTTCAGTTTATTAATCTGTTTGTATTTTCTGGTGGAAATTTATATGGCGTGACTCCTTTTCAGCCATAATTGTTGCATCACGATGTCACAGTCAAGAGGTGATATATAATTGCCAAGACATGAAAATAGCACAATATCTCGTCGCGAAGTATAATTAGTTGAACTAGGATCAAGTATACTATTTGTAGGGAGAGATTAACCAAAGGCAGTGGCTAGCTAGAGCTTGGGCAAGTGTACGAGTACTCTGATAATCACAAATCAATATTAAAAATCAAGTAGGCCTACAAATATAGGTCAGTCCAGAGACCTTGGATCATGATCTTATCTTGTTT